GACAAGTCCAACAAGGGGTTAACATCCAAAATACAGAAAGAACTCACATGCCTCAACACCCAAAAAGCAAATAACCCAATTAAAAAATGGGCAGAGGAATGAAGAGACAATTCTCCAAAGAAATTCAGATAGCCAACAGGCATTTGAAAAGATGCTCCATATCACTAATCATCATGGAAAAGTAAATTAAAACCACAATGAGATATCACCTCACACCAGTAAGGATGGCCAGCATCGAAAAGACTAAGAACAACAAATGCTGGTGAGGATGTGGAGAAAGGCGAAACCTCCTACACTGCTGGTAGGAATGTAAGCTAGTTCAACCATTGTGGAAAGCAATATGGAGGTTCCTCAAAAAACTAAAAATAGAAATACCATTTGACCAGGGAATCACACTCCTAGGAATTTATGCAAAAGAATAGAAGTTCTCAGATTCAAAAAGACATATGCAACTGTATGTTTATCACAGCACTATTTACAATAGCCAAGATATGGAAGCAACCTAAGTGACCATCAGTACATGAATGGATGAAGAAGAGGTGATATACATACACAATGGCATACTATTCAGCCGTAAGAAAAGAAACAAATCACACCATTACAACAGCATTGATGGAGCTAGAGGGTATTATGCTTAGTGAAATAAGCCAAGTGGAGAAATACAATTACCAAATGATTTCATCCATCTTTGGAGCTGAAAAACAAAGCAAAAACTGAAGGAGCCAAACAGCAACAGACTCACAGAGCCGAAGATTGGACTAACAGTTACCAAAGGGAAAGGGACTGGGTGGGGATGGGGTGAGGGGGTGGGGCAGGTTGGAAGGGAGAGATAAGGGGGAAAAAGGGGCATTACAATTAGCACACATAAATTGGGGGGTGGGGCACACAGGGATGTCTGGATAGCACAGAGAAGACAAGTAGTAACTCTATAGCATCCTACTATGCTGCTGGACAGTGACTGTAATGGGGTATGTGGTGGGGACTTGATAATGGGGGAAATCCAGTCACCACAATGTTGCTCATGTAATTGTATATTAAAGAGAACAAAAAAAAATTACTAAGACAGGTGAAATTATCTGTGCTCTATTCAAATCTATCTCCTTAGTCACAAGACCCAGACAGAATCAATTAATAATTTTTTTACCCACTCAGCCCTTTCTTCTAAATTCCAATTAAATACCAACTTTTTTTCTTGCCTTGGCCTAATGATGTGACACTTCATCCATAAAATTAATTAATGAAGGCAACCTTATGACTCAAGTCCATTCACATAGAAAGTTTATATCTGAGCAAATCATTCACTCATCATGGACAAAGACAGAGATTATGTTACATGTATATCGTATTTCAATGACCACTTTTTAATGTTTCTTGTGTATAATAACCATTTATGGCACAGAAAATTAAGAGTACCTAATATTGCATACCAAGTTACAAGTATTGGCAGACAATACTGGTTGTTTCCCCTCCAGCTACTGCCAACTTTCATTCTTGCTAACAGACGGGATTGCTCAGATCATGAAGCACTTCTGTTCTGTGGTCCCATTGGGAATCCCAGGGATACACGTATTGATTAATCTAAGTAGTCCTCAAGGTGTGGGCCTGGACCAGCAGTGTCAGGATCACCTGGGAGCATGTTAGAAATTATATCCTGGGGCTCCACTCCCAGTCTGCTCAATCAGAAACTTTGTAGGTGGGGACCAGCAATCCGCATTTTATCAGACTCTCCAGATGATTCTGATGCATGCTCAAGTCCGAGGCCCTGGCCTAATCAATCATGGCATTTCTGATCTCTCTGCCAAAGACTGGATTAGGCTGCTCTATGTGACCAATGAGCCTGACAGGAAATCTGGTAAGCTTCCAGAATACTCCGCTTGCTCACACACAGAAAATAAGAAGAAATACACCCACCCCTTCTTTTTTGATTCAGATATTGTCATATCTTCAGGTGATACCTGGAACTGTGGCAGCAATCTTGTAACCATTAGGTGACAAATCCAAATACTAAGCCAATAAGCCAAGAATGACAGCAGGAGAGAGAAGGAGCCTGGGTCCCTGGTGACCTTGAGTTGCTGAATTAACCTAGAAATACCCAAGCTCTAGACTCCCTGTTCAGTAATATTTTTTTTTAAGCCCTCCATGTGTAAACTATTTTAGTTGGCCTTCTGTTAACTTGAAATCCTTGTAGTTAGTATCTTTGTTTCTTTTTTGGAGGCAGGCACCAAAATAATATAAACAATATAATCTCACTTTCATAATATTACTTAATTTTGTACATATCATATATAATTATATAACATTCTACAATATTTTATTATATTCTATAATGTTTTAATTTGAAGCATTTTTAAAAGGAGTAATTTAAAACTTTATTAAGTAAAAACACAGAGCACATTTAGAATGATGTGATTGAAATTATATTCTGGTTTTGGTTCTACTAACTAGGTTGTGGGAACAAATACTAAACAAATTTAGGCCTTGATTTTCTAACTCATAGAAGGAAAGAGTCAGATTAAACCACTGATCCAATCCTGTCCAATTTAAAAAGTTTTACTCTCAATCTTTAAAAGGTCCTGAATGGCCTCTGTGACAAAAGCTCATCTTTCATTAAAGATCCTATCAATAAGGACTTCTTTGTAGTGCCAAGACTTATTAATTGCTATGCAGGCTGACAAATATTTCCAGAAAACGGTGGCACCTAGTGCTGCCCAGCTGAAAGGCTGAAAGGCCTTACTTGGTGCTTGCTCCTGCCGACTCCGTTATTTATACTAGGAGAGGGATGAATATTCTGCAGGTAAACACTCTTAATCCAAGGCCTTAAATTTACTTGCTGATTCAACTTCCTCCCCATGCAAAAGTCAAAAAATACAAAATGCTGTATTATTTCTCCCCTTCACTGGAAGCACGATAAAGTTCATGTAAGAGAAGGAAGATGCAGGCTAAGAGGAGGCAGCAGACTGCTAAACTGCAAAGATGATTTTAAAACCATTGGCGACAGAGACTTAGAAACGAGGCAGGGTTGGTTTTGGAAAGGAAAACATGGCTTCATTATTCTCACTGCAACTAATATTACACATAAATAAAAATCCATGTCTGGGCAGAGTATTTTTAATATAATATATTTCAAGACCTCTTTACTTAAAGCATCAGATGTCCAAAAGCTTCTTAAAGGGAAAGACAGACAGCCACGACTTCCTCTAATCAGAGGGTATCTTCCTGGGATGAAAGTGCTACTACACTATTATTACTAACAATGGCTACCAACACAACCATACAAGGCTGATGACTAATGGTCAAAATAATTTAAAGCTTTTTCCTGTAAATGAACCAGAAATACCAAACACAGGTAAAACCCTTTTATACTAAACTTGCAACTCAACTACACTCATTTATTATTACTTAACTCAGTTTTCTTTAATCAATAGAATACTAAAACTGTATATGCAGGCTGCCAAATTCAGATGCAGAAGAGCTGCTGCACAACATGTGGTGAGTTTATTTTTTTATGCCTGGCACCTCTTCATAAAAGGATGTGAGGCTGAAACATGGTGAATGGGCAGGGCAAACTACAGGGATGGATGTGGAAGAAATGGCACACAGGCACATTTCCACTCCTGTTCGCCTATTTAGTTTCCAGATTTTGTAATATGCTTTATGTTAGAGGTCAGTTTAAAGCTGAGTTTACCTGAGATAACTGGTTTAAAATGGGGTAGGGTGAGAAATCTTAGAAGAGTAACTGCTGCTTGATGACAGAACAAGAGAAGTATAGAGAGGTCATGTACAGCTCACAGCGCAGGTGTGCTGCCTGCCTACCCGGAAGAGAGCAGAGTCAAGTTCTTTAGCTACAGGGTAACGAGCACAGGAAGGAACACAGCCATTCTGCTTCTAGAAAGGTATCCTGGGGCAAAAATTAGGAAAGCACACAAGGATATTCACTGCAGGATTGTCTATAAGAATAGAGAATTGGTCAAACAAATTACACTATAGCTATCCAGCAGAACACGATTAAGTAATTTACAATAATGCCACATATAAGTATTTAATAACACACAAAGATGGTTGTATATACTGATAAGTACAAAAGCAGCCTACTGAACAGTGTGAACTATATGACCCTATTTTTTATTTTAAAAAATCGAATATAGGTAGAGCCAGGTATATCTATATCATATCTACACATAGATAGAATTCTCAAAGTATATAAAACCAACTGCAATGAGATCATGGGCACTTCTACATTTCCTGTTTGTGTTTAGCTATAGCCCCTGATTTTGTTTTCTATGATAAGCACATATTGATTTTATAATGAGAAAATAAATTATCAAAATATCTGATAAGCAGGTATACAGAAAGCCTCTGATACTTCAGGGATATTCTTTGTACAGCATTACTGTAGGAAAGGGTTTGCTTTACTACATCATTTGAGTGTATGAAATAGCCCTGTTGTGCAGAACTGTTGGTTACAGTAGTATAGAACTAATGGAATTTCATCTGTAGAAAAACTCTCACAAGTACTGAAACTACTAATTTGGGAAAACAAGAGACATACTCACGGCTGAGTGAAGTCCCGAGTGATGAAATCAGAACTCTTGAACAGTAGAAAGATGTCGCTGAGGGTTTTACATTTCAGAGAACTATTCATGGCTATCCAGTATGCATCCTACATAATAAAGAATGAGCTACTTAGTATATTTTTCCAGTTGGTAGCTATAAATGAAGCTCAGTCCTATACACAAAATTAATAATGCATATTACTTCAAGAGTTTAAAGAAAAAAGTCAGGTAAGAGTTAAGTTGTACTGTCAAATGTCAAATTATACTTCCAAACCACAAATAGCAGCATCCTTGCAAGTCAGATGCTCAGTTATGAGCATGGAGAGTGTAAGGTCCTCACCTTCCAGCTCAGGCCCAGGCACTTCCTATGCCTCTCTTACTGATGATGAAAGGGGATAAAAATGCTGACACCTGCTACAAGATCAAGGTGTAAAGAAAGAGCCTGACTAGCTTCTAAGAAAAAGGAGACCCTTTCCTTTCTTCCTGTTTCTGGGGAGTGACAACTGGAATGCCTAAAGTTTGAAGACTGGAGCAGTTATGACCAAATCTGGGAGACAGAAGGTGAGCTATTCTGAATCATCAAAATTTTAAATGGTGAATGCCTCATACATATGAACCCCAAAAAAGTAAGAAAAGCAGGCACAATAGCCATAAGGCTTAGCAAAACATGCCTAAAAATGATAGAATAATTAAGTCATTTGATAAACATACTTTTCCAACAGATCAGAGGACAGCAATACAATTTTGAGAAAATTAGTAATTGTGGAAAACTATCCAAACATCCACACTACACAAAAGAGAGCACAGCATAGAACAGGCACTCAATATATAAAAGAAATGAACAAATGAGTAACTTAAAACCACAAATAATCTATACATCTGCAGCAGAAAGCCTCAATCCAGTTCGACAGTAAGGAATGATTCATATTACTGCTCATACGTAAACTAAAAACAAGTTTCAATAACTTCTTTATAATAATTTCCTTATAATTTCTCCCAATGAAGAAGATGATACACTTCTGGTGAAAGAACACAAAGATTTAACTCCACTGAAACAACAGTATATACATAGAAAACTATGCAACTGAGTAAACAAGGCAATTACTAACTCGTGGGAGAACAAAGTGCTGAATAAGAAAACATAAATCATCATAGTACAGTATATATGACAGGTGTCCACAGTGTCTGATAATCCTAACATTACAATACTGATCTAACCAAAGGTATGATATAATGAGGACACTGGAATAGAAAGCTGTAGGGATATGGCATGAAATAGAGCTGAATCTTTCTGTTCTTGAGTAGGTAGTCAATAATAAACATGTAAAGCTGAACAATAGAGGAAAATAACAAAAGAACATACTGAAATATTTGAAAGCAGTTGCCTCTGAGCAGTGGGAAATGGTAAAGCAACAAACACAAGTGTCAGGACCTGTAGTAAGTTTCTGGATATTCTGAAAATTTAAACTCTATACAGGTATAACTAATTTTAAGAAGTAAAAATTAAGAACTGGATTAAGTACAACTTATTCATTTTAGAATAAGAAAAGATGTATACAGGATGGTTTTTGAAAATAAAGTCTTTGACTCCTTAAATTGGTTTGCTCATATAAAATTGTTTTCTACTAAATTAGAAAAAATGGTGAATTTTCCCACAGACTTTAACTTAAAAAAAGTCTTGCTGATGTAACGTTAAAATTATAAAACACAATTTAAGAAATTATCAGTTGATTTTTCAAACTGGACTATTTTTAAATGCTGTGACATTTAAATTTTTATTACTTAAATCTTTATTACTTTTCTCAATAGCGAAAAATTTCTCTGTTAAACTGGACAGCTGAATTTTTGAAAAAGGCAGAGAATGGATTTCATCAGATTTCTGTGATCAGCACACAAGAGACTGAAACTGTCTTTTGGCAAAATACACAGTATTGCTAGACTCGGGGAAGTTTACTGCAACATCAGGAAAATAAAAGAATGGGGAAAAATAAAAATAAATTCCATGGTATTTTCCCTAGAATCAGTATTATAATTGGACCCTCTGAGCAATATAAAATGGATGTGAATAGTAAAACAAAGAGTTTTCAGACAGTGAGATTTACTGATGTGTTCCTACCCTTGGGGCACTCCAGTTAAGCTTAGGAAACACACTGCCCTCCAGGGAATTGATAGCTTCTTGGACTTTAGTGGTGAACTCAGGAAATTCTGGTGCCTACAGAGAGAAGAAATCATTTGGGCAAGTCAATATCATCACGACAAATACAGAAAATAAGATCAAGATCTCAAGGTTTAGCTTATTTAGGGTTTTAGAACACAAATTAATATCAAGAGTTTCTGAACGCAGCAAAATAAAATCACTGATCAAGTAACAATAACATTTAACACAAAGGGAAAAAAAAAATAGCAAGTGCCCAAATGGTACTTCCCTAAACAACTCAAAACCCATAAAACTGAGGAGACAGATGTCATGAGGCATTTGGGTATGTGAGGAAGAAAACAAGTGGTTCTCTTAACCCCTCCGTAAAACCAGTGTTAATATTAAGTGAAAAGACAGGGATGGAGTATCATCTGCGAATGTACTCCAATTCTCAGAAATAAAACCTTACACTTAAAGGGCCGGAAGCCTTTCCCTTTGCAGGAAAACATTCTTGGACATATCCCCAGAAGGTTTCAGGGGGAATAAGAAACAAATTATGTCATTAACTGTACTTAAACACTGCTATTTCCAGACATGTTTAAATATGAACAAGACTCAAAAATAGGACCTCAGTGAAAATGTTCTTTCCTTTTTGGTTGATTTTAAAATGCATATTTTACATAAGCAAGTAATCAAAACAGACTAAGTGTCATTTCAACCAGCAAGTAAATAATACAGTTGTGAAAGAACTTGAACATGATTGCTATTATGATCTGCCTTGACTATTAGAGAAGCACACAGACATACTTAGAGACTAGGGGAGTAGAGACGTGGAGGTAGAACCTGCAGGCGAGACTGAATACAAAAATATTAACAGATTCTCTACAAAATTAAAATGTCCTTTATATTTGCTGCCCCCTATTGGTAAACGCAAATTCTGAAAAAGTCCAGTAATGACCAGTTCTTCTATATGGGAAAAAAAGTTAATATAGGTCCGGAATTAGCTAAATTACACACTGAAAAAATATATCAAATGGGTTATGCTAATTCCTAAGATGTAACCCAGTTATGCAAAGAGTAAACTGTTATAAGAGTCTGTGACACAGACCAAACAATATAAGTTTTAAAAAATGGCAATATATTCCCCCAAAACAGAAACCAGCTTTCATCAATAGGCTGGTGAGTAAAGAAAGGAGAGACCAAGGGAAGGCTAGCCTCCCTTTCCTTCTGCTACAGAAGTATGCAATCTCTGGACCACTTAGCTGCATCTTTTAGTTATCTGATACCCTGCCACTGTATGGATCTTCTGTTTTCTATCTTCAGATTAGACATATGAAATTAAACTGTAGTGACTCAGACAAGCTTTCAAAACAAAGCCTTGTGTCCCTTATTTTTCATTTGCCTCTCCTCATCAAAAGGAATTATGATTTACGTTAAGCCAATAATTTCCTTATAATCCCCTGAAGTTGCTGATTTATCTCCCCTAAAATTCTATCCACAAAAACACTTGCCTAAGATCTGCATTATAAATTTCACAACATAAAGGAATTCCAATTTAATTTTCCTATCTCATAAAACTTCACAATTTAATTTTCCTATCCCATAAAACTTCAGTTTTATTTTTTTGTTTAAGTTTTAATTAAAACTTCACAGTTTTAATTAAATTAAAACAATTTAATTTTCCTATCCCATAAAACTTCACAGAAGCAAGCAGTCCTGACTGCTTTGTATTTATGCATTACATTTTAAAAGAGGTGACAGATTCCCTCAAATCCTCAAGTTATTCAGCTTTAGGAAATGCTGCCATAAGGATACTAAACCAAAATTATAAAAAGATTATGCATTGTAGAGAAAAATTTGTGCTTCAGCAGAAGACAATGTATTGTCTACATACAGCACATCCTTGTAGGTTACCTGATTCTATGAGGTCTCCAAGCTATTTTACAATTTGGTAAATTGTTGGTTAAGTGGTAATGATGAAAGGTTTTCTTACGGACATGAAAATGCTATCCTGTCTGATAGAAATCCAGTTGATTCCCCTCCCACTCTTGAGAGAGGCAAGCCAGTTTTGCTTCACAAATCATTTCAATTTTCTTAACCTATAAACAAGCCTATTCTTTGGGTTCTCTTCTGAACCAGTTATAATATCTGCCTGCTTCTGTCATGACTTAAATAAAACCTACAACATGCATTAACAAATTTCATATCTATATGGGAGTTATGACTCTCTCTTTCTCTGAAAATTGCATTTTAACAGATTTAACTAATAGGATCCTTTTAAGTGCACAGCTTGAGTCAATTTTACTTATTTTTGTTTTTTCTTTACTTGTTTATTCATTCATTCTTTTCAACTAGTCAATCTTAAATATGTGCAGCACCTCAGTTGTCTGGGAAAAGGTTCCCCTTGGAAGTAGGATAAAATTCATGTTTTTAATCATATCCATGGACTTTATGATACAAACTCACCCATCTTTCCAACTTCACCCACCACCTGCACCACACCATTAAGAAAAGGTACCTCTTTCAAAAAAAATTTTAAATCATAAAATGTCTTACATACACAAGAAGTATGCATATTTTTCCCTGGATCCATATATATTTAACAATTTGGCATATCTGACCCAGCCCTTTAAATTTCTTAAGGGAAAAACCATTATAATATAAACCTTACCTCCTTGCCCTCCTCACTTAACCTTTCCCTCTCCCCACAGGCAACCAGCATTACAATGGGCATATTCTTCTACAGTCATGATTTTATACTTAAGATAACCTGTGCCTGTCCATAAAACACAACATCTTCTGGCAACTCTTAGAAATTACTATTATGCTTTTGAGATTTATCCATCTTGATTCTCTTTTCTCATTTTCAATTCAGTATTATCTACACAAACAGACTATTACCATTCACCAGTACTGCGTCTTTTCCCACCTTGGGTCTTGGCTCAACATCCCTCCACTAAGAGTGTGCTCCTGCCACAAATGTCCTCGGCCAAGCAACAGTGCATTCCACCCGGGGAAAACCAATCACTCCTTTAAAATAACTTTTTATTTTGAAATAATTTTACATTTTGAGAAGCATTAAAATCTGAGTAATAAGAATTTCAATAGACTCTTCACTCAGGCATTTTGCTATGTTTGCTTTCTCATTCTCTTCCTAATCCCTCTCTATATATCTATACAGATGTGCATATATACATATATATAAAATACATTTTTTTCCTACACTCAAAGTTGAAGTCACAATGCCCCTTTACCCTTAAATACCTCAGCATGTATTTCCTAAAAAGCAGAACATTATTTTACATAACCTAGGAAAATTACCAAAATCAGGAAGCTAACACTAATACCACACCATAATCTCATCTATATACCCTATTCCAAATGTGCCTATTGTCCTAATACTGTCTTCTAAGGCAATAGAAAAATAAGTTTTTTTCCTGCCCTACAATCCAGGCTAGAATCATGCACTGCCTTTGGCTGTCACGTCTCTTTAATCTCCTTTAGTTTGTAACAGTTCCTCTCTCTGTTCTTTATCTTTCAGGACCTTGACATTTTTGAAGAGTTCAGGGCACTTACTCTGTATAGTTGCCAAACGCTGAGTTTGCTGGATGTTTCCTCGTCATTAGATCCAGGCTGTGCATTCTGTGTGCTTCTCAGTGCATCATGTCAGGATGCTGACAATGTAGGTCTGTCCCATCACTGACAAGGTTAACTGATCACCAGACTGCCAGGTTTTTCCATTGTGAAGTTATTTTTCTCTTATAATCAGTGAGTAATTTGGGTGGAGATACTTTGAGAATATTCAAATATCCTCTTTCTCATCAAATATCTACCCAGTAGTTTTAACATCAATTTCATCAGTTACTACTATGATGGTGGCCAAATGGGTATTTCTAACTCCACCATTCCATCTACACTTATGATCTGGTGCCTTTTCTACTAAAAGGGCTTTCCCTTCTGCTTCATTTAGTGTTATTTTTTATGTCAGTATGGGATCATGGATTCTAATTTTAGTCAATGGTTATCATTGCTTTGTTATGATGCTCAAATATTTGACTGGAGGGAGCCCATTGAAGGTGGCTTATGGGTCCTTTTTCTCAAGTTCACATCATCCTTACTTTCTGACATGAGTTTTTGCAGGCTCATATTTACTTTCCTACCTCTAGTCTTAAATTTCTCTAAGGTGGTTCGATTCCTTTTAGTGGGGAATGGTATTCAGACACCAAGATCAGGGCTCTAAGTATGCTCATTGCTACCACGATGTCCTTGCTTCTAGATCTTTCCAAACAGAGTTTAGTAAATATACACACATACATGAGTATATGTTATTTATTTCTGTATCTTCCTATTAAAAAACAAGAGTTGATATGGATAATCTTACTACTTTAAGGGTCCAAGTCAAATACTACTTCTCCCTTACAGCATTTTTAGATGCTCTCAGTTAAAATTGTTCTCTGCTCTGACAGCACTTTGTCATCTACCCCCAAAATCGGGTATCTTTCCCTACTGATTTATGCACTCCCTAATGGCATATTCATGTATTTACTTCATAGAACCCATTATAATATCCTAAATATGGTCAGTAACTCACATACATGAATAGACTTTTCATAAAAGGGGGCTGATTGACCTGCATGAGACCCAGAGTAAAATAAAATGAAACCTTTCATTTCCTGCATATGTTCACATGCTTTTTATACCTGGGGAGATAACATCATTTTAGGCTTCAGCACTTTTTTTTCTTATACCCTGGACATCATCTCTCTTCCATTGATGTAAACAATAAATTCTTATTTAGAATTCTTTTAAATTATTTAAATCCTCTGTTAAAACCAGTTGCCTGTACCATGCCTTTACATTTATTTGAAAGGAATTTTATAAAAACTTTTTCTCTCTTATCTCAAGGGATGAGGAGTCTCATTTACCTACCATATTTTTAGCAATACAATTTTTACTTCTCTCATTCCACTATCAAAGCATGTTTTAAATTGAATTTGACAACAGCATTCTTATCCTGAAAGACTATATATATGCTCAATCAACTTCTACATTTTTATTCAAGATATTGGTTAAAGGCACATACTTCTCTGCTCTTACTTGTGTAATTTTTACACCATGTAAATACGCATGAATAAGTGAATATAGATTTCCACTTTAATTTAGGTTCTAAAGATCCAGGAGCCTCAAGAGTCTAACGTTAGGCTTGATCCCTTCTTTCAGAGCTTAACAGAAACAAGTCAAGGTATCAACTATGCACTTTAAATGCTTCCTTTGAAATCAAAGGGAAAAAAAGGTCAGGCCACGTTACCTGTAAAGAGTAATTCAAGTTACTTTTCAAAATGATGATCATAAGCCAACAGAGAAAAAGACATTTGCAATGGTGAATAAATGGGAATTTAGAAAGACATGCATCAAAAGCCTAAATCACCCTGTGTGAGACAGTGTAAGGCTGCCCCACACTGGTATAGCTCTGCTCTTACCGTAAGCGTGGCTGTGTTCTCGTCATCTGACCACTGCAAAGAGAAGAGGACAAACAGAAAACATTAAATGTAGATAGTGCATACTGGGCTTCCAGAAAGCAGAGCTCCACCTAAAATGATACATAAACAGGAAATATCTTTTACAGAACATAAAATATACGTCAAAATGGGATTTTCAAGTTAATCCTCACTTTATTGAATGTATGCTAAGACCTAAGTATCAGCACAAAACATTTTTTTTGAACCAACCTGTATTTCTTCTGCCTCATCATCACTGTCTGGCTGGGAACTTGTTGGTGGATCTTCCCTAGAACAACATAAAGCAAAAATTAAGCAAGAAAAAGGCTTTGATACCATGTCGTCATTATTTTCAGGTGTACTGACATATATAAAACAGCCTATATGAACAGTTTTTTCCTGCACATATGTCCTCAGGCAAGCAAAACAAAATAAAGAATGAACAAGTGGGACCACATCAAACTAAATAGCAAAGGATACCATCAGCAGAACAAAAAGTTATCCTACAGTATTGGAGAATATATTCATAAATGATTTATCCAATAGGGGTTAACATCCAAAACATATAAAAAGCTCATAGGCCTCAACACCAGAAAAACAAATAACCTGATTAAAAAACAGGCGGAGGACCTGAACAGACACTTTTCCAACGAAGAAATACAGATGGCTAACAGTTACATGAAAAGATGCTCCATGTTGCTAATCATCAAGGAAATACAAATCAAAACCACAACGAGATATGACCTCACACCAGTTAGAATGGCTACTGTCCAAAGGACAAGAAATAACAAGTGTTGGCAAGGATGTAGAGAAAAGGGAAAGCTTCTGCACTGTTGGTGGGAGTGTTAATTGTTGCAGCCACTGTGGAAAGCAGTATAGAGGTTCCTCAAAAGACTAAAAATAGAAATACCATTCTACCCAGCAATTCCACTTCTGGGAAATTACCCAAAGAAAACAAAATCCCCGATCTGAAAAGATACATGCACTCCTATGTTGATAGCTGCATTATTTACAACAGCCATGATATGAAAGCAACCAAAGTGTCCATCAGTAAATGAATAAAGAAGATGTGGTACATATACACAATGGAATATTCATATACATGATGGAATATTATTCAGCAATATAAAGAACACAAATCTTGCCATTTGCAACAACCTGGAGAGATAGATCTAGAGGATATTATGCTCAGTGAAATAAGCCAGGTGGAGAAAGACAAGTACCATATGATTTCACTTATTTCTGGAATATAAAAACAAAGCAAAACAGAAGGAACAAAAACATCAGTAGATTCACAGACACTGAGAAGGAACTGGTGGTTGCCATAACGGGGGATGTTGGGCTGGGTGAGAGGGGAAGGTGAGTGGGATAAAGGGGCATAAAAATTCTCAAACATAATGTAGTCTGGACACAGGATAGTGGTACAGCATGGAGAATGCAGCCAGTGAGTCTGTAACATCCTCCCATGTTGACAGATAGTAGCTGCACTTGCAGGGGTCAGGATTTAATAATATGGGTAACTACTGAGCCACTGCATCGTATACTTGAAACTAAAATAAGACTGTGTAACAATTTAAAAGACATAGATAGCAAACGGGATGAAGGAAGACACCAGAAGGAATTGTCTGAAGAGTTGTTCTGCAGAGCTGATGGAAAAACCAAGAATCTTGTTTATATGGTGAAAACAAAGAATGTGGGCTGGGATCAGGAATCACCATGGATTTGGACTGGTACTGCAGAAAGGTATGAGGAAGAGAGAGAAAGAAATACTCCTATATGCTATCTTTGAAGGATCTAGTGGGTTAAGCAGGTCTGATTGGCCACCTAGCAGTTCACCTTCCCTGCCCAGGGGGGCAAAGGCTGAAAACCCAGATGGAATAACACTGCCCGGCCCCTCCTCAACATTCGACTACAAACGACTGCCTAACAAAGAACTCAGTCATATCACTGAAAATAAATAATCAGAGTAAGAACCAACACAGGATTTGTACCAAGAAACTACAAGAAAAAGGGAAAGGGAGACTACTAGTTCATGATGGGCATTTATTCATCTATCGCTATGTTCCCTCCTGAAACGCCACTAAAATAAAGACCCAAGGAAAAAGAGGAGACAACTGCAAAAAAGGGAGGCAATGAAAGTTTGAAACTGAAAGTCCATGAGGGGTAACCCAGCGAGCAACAGGCAGAACCTGGGGCACTATCCCGGATGATGGGCCGGCAGCTCTAGGCTCCAGATGGGGTGACCTGTGTGAAGGCCATAAAAGCGGCGGTAAGACACACCCAGTCTTCCTCACCTTCCACACCCCAGGACCTGATCCTCTTCCACGTCCCAGAGGAACATGGGGGTGAAATGTTAGAATATGAAGAGGAGCCATATGTATGTGAAAATTGAATGAAGAGTGAGACCCCTAGTCCTCTCCTTCCCACCTTGCTCCTGGAATACAGACAGATTAGAGGATTCTTCCTGGAAAAACTAAACAATCCTAGAGAAAAGACCTGTAGATTAACTGTCATTTGGGAATCTCTTATCAATTTCTGTTGATTACTAGCCCCACCCAGGTACACAGTTTTCAAATGTGTGTGTGTGTATGAATGCACAGCACACTTAAAGATGAATAAAGTCCTAGAATCATTAAAAGACTAAAGAAAGGCTCCAAGATGAAGAGTTTTTCAACAGAGAAAACAGTCATATGTAAGAATTAAAGACAATAAAGGGACCAGATGAAAAATAATTTTTTTAAATCACTAATACCATCACAGATAAGATCATATTGCATTCATTAGAGAACAGGAGCTATAAGAAAGGAACAGAGGAAGAGAGTCAACTTGAAGAAACTGAAAACATGGTAGCTGAAATTTAAAAATTCAATGAATGACAAAATCAAGGAAATTTCACAGAAAGTGGAACTAAGAAGACAGAGCTGGAAATAAAGAGAAACTTTAAAATTCGGAGATCCAACATCTAAATTAATAGGAGTTTCAGAAAGAGAAGCAAGAAAACAAAAGGAAATCATCAAAGATTTACTTTCAAATGTCCCAAAATGAAAAATATAAGTCTCTAGAATCAAAAGGCTTACCAGGCACACAGCACAATGAAGGGGAAAAAAACAAACTCAGATAATGTGCAAAGATGGTCACAATAATTCTTCCCATCTCATATGCCACGCCCCCTTGCAGGGTGACTTTGCCACTCTTCCCACCAAAAAATGGCACTTATTTTCCTGTTTCTCTAATTTAGACTGGCTTCAAGACTCAATGTGACATTCAATCACAAGTGATATCATGTAATTTGGAGCACAGGTGTCAAAACTCTTTACAGCTTCCACTCTTCAAAAACTTACAGTTTTTGGAATGCTGCCACCACCATGGAAAGAAGACAAGGTTAGTCCTGGTGATGAGACCACACGGAAAGAGAGGCCTAGTTGACATGTGAGTTAGGCCATATTAAAACCATTCAGTTCAGTCAAACCGCAGAATGACTACAGACAAATAAGTGACCTTAGCAAGACGAACAAGACTCTCCCAGTGTGCAGAATTATGGAGGTGTTAAGATTTCACCCTACTTGCAAGCTAACAAGTTAGCCTGCCACAGTTCCATGGCCTCTGGCAGAAGATGTTAAAACTCCTGGGTCAGAAACAAAGTACACTATCACTCAGAGCACAGCAGAGAGCAAGAGCTTCATCCCAGCATCACTTCCCATGGGGTCAAGAAGAGGCCCAGGTTTGAGTTACAACTGAGGAACCCTGAACTTAGGGAATTTCATCTTTTATAATGGGCTGCAGGTAAACTTGCTCAATCTTTGATCCAAGGGGAAGACACTGTCTTTATTTGTACTAGACAATGAGCAAACCTGCTCTCTACAAGTAATGAAGACACTATCTTTATCTTCAAAGGCTGTTTGCTATATAAACATCCCTGAAAAATAATCCGGACAAAAGCTTCTGCTTGCAAAACATGCTATAACATGGGAGGGCTTTGTTTGCAATGCAGTGAGTTTTATCTTAAAAACTAAAGGCTCTCAGAGGCTCTTAATATGTCCTCTTCCTCCCTACCCCTCTTCTCCCCATCTCCAGAAGCAATACTTAACATCACATTCATTTTTTTTTAACAATGATCATCATATTCATTTTCTAAATGCAGAGATGAAAGGAACTGTTCAATTTCACAAGCAGTTATTAGAGAGGAAGTACTCAATTTTGAAAACCTTAACTGAGCAATGACAAGGACTACAGGACAAAGATCAGTATATAATTTTAACTAGGGAAGAAAAAGGGTAGAGAATGGTGCCAAAGCTAATGTATTTATTTTACATGGTAGTTGTTGAGATTTAATCATTACAACATTTATTTTATGATGGAGTTTAAAGAATTTTTTGCTGATATACTTTACCTTCCTGAAACCACCAGAGTTCCATCATCCAGTAAATAATCCTTCACATTCTGAGGAAGTGGAAGAATGATACTAAAAAAACAAAGACAAAAAAGCACATACCAAAAAAGGCATCACTTTAAAAGATGGACCACAAGCAGAATAAAAAAATTCTGACTTTATTTTTGAATTACTTGCTCCCTTTATTCTAATATGAAGTGGGGAATGTTAATTGTGTGCATTTGGTAGTAGCATTCTAGAAATTAGAAAAATATGAATCAATACTGTGGTAAACTAAATTAGGTTCACAGAAATTACCAGTCGTCTTTCTGGTAAAGAAAACGGAACCCAACCAAATCCAAAGACCGGTGCTGAAATCACACTATGAAAGCCACAAGCTCAAGAGAATTCTGAGGACGATGATTGTGCGCCTTTAAGAAATTAGAGAGCAGCAGATTATTTGCAGCAACACAGGAAATGCCGCAAACAAATCAGGTTAACAGAATCTGACCACCTTCTAAGATATAAGGCAGAAGTAGACTGAGATCTGGAAACCACTCCTCGGTAGGCAGCGAGCACATCAGGCTAAGAATTCAAGACATTCAGATGTCTTGGCAGCTCTCTATTTGACTGATCCCCAGAACTATAAAACTGCTTAACTGCGCATGCTTTAGTTTAAATTGTTTTAGATAATTCCAAAGAACAGATGGCAAAGCCATACCTAAAGTCACTTAAAAACCTGTGGGATAATTTGTTTTTTACTTTGTAATAATCAATCATCCAAAATCCCTGCCACAGATACCCATAGGTAATGCTATTATTTGGATCTTGAGGCATCTGTTTTTTTAAAAGATTAAGATTATGACTGCTGTCAGAGTCAAGAGAACATCACAGACATGATGTGCTTCATTACATGTTGAGCAAGTTTTCTGGGATGCTACAAATGGTTTTTGTGTGCAGAAAAAGTTATACATGAACTACTTTGTTTTTAAAAGTATCTGATTTATTAAAGTTACAATTTTACATTCAAAAGTCTAGTTCTTCAGGCTTTTAAACTCAAGTATCAATTCATATTATTCTCTTTGCAAATCTGCTAAGTTTTAACCAATTTCAAATGTTTTTGAAACTTAAAAGTTGCTTTAAAAATTCTAACTCTATTATCAAAGTAATCTACTCAGTTTTCTTTTTTTTTTTAATTTTTATTAAGGTATCATTGATATACATTCCTATGAAGGTTTCACAAGAAAAACAATTTAGTTGCTACATTCACCCATATTAGCAAGTCTCCCCTTATACCCCATTGCAGTCACTGTCCATCAGTGTAGTAAGATGCCACAGGGTCACTACTTGTCTACTCTGTGCTACAGTCTTGCCCATGCACCATGTGAACTAATCATAATATCCCTCAATCCCCTTCTCCCTCCCTCCCCACTCGCCCTTCCCCACCCCTCCCCTTTGGTAACCACTAGTCCTTTCTTGGAGTAGGTGAGTCCGCTGCTGTTCTGTTCCTTCAGTTTTGCTTCAGTTTCCTTTTTACATGTTAATTGTCTAATTAAAAATAATCCTTCCCAAGTATTTCACTCTTATGAAGTCAGCACATTAAGTATAGTCAATCTAAGGTTCTTGCAAACATTCTAATACTATTTTAAAACTTGGAAAATTTTCCTACATGTTTTAACATATCACAATTCTAAACCAATTACACAATTTAAACTGGAGCCACAAGCCTAATCTGTTACATGTGTGCTGTCCTCAAAATGGAAAATTCTTAAAAGATACTAAATTTAGCAGGGGAAAAAAAAAAACCCTCTTAAATTTTTCATTATTTCATCAATTCTACATTTAATTCTAGTTCTTCCTGGGGTTAAAGATACCCAACAATGTCATCTCAAAACAATGAGAGATGACCTTTCCAAGAGACTCTGAAGTTTACCTCATCAAGGGCCTGAGACTGAAAAATGCTGGCAGGGTTGTCAGTTCCTAGACATATAAGGTGATTTTTCCCACCACAGTGAGAGTGGATAGAGCCCTCTTTCTCCAGCAATGTCTCTACATCTGCAAATCAGTGATTTCAGAATCCATATCCCTTGTTTTCCAGTTAAACTAATTCTCAAGTCTGATTCGAATCTGGACTTTCCCTCCAGGTTGCATCCCTTGATTGGATTCAAAACATCCATTTACTGTTTGATGCTATTCTGAATTCTTTGCATATTTTTCCCATTTGGAGGGTCTACAATCTTATACAGCTTAGCTGACATGATAGATTCTGCAGTTCTTATGGTCACTGAGTTCTGCAGTCACAGTTCTAAAGTCATGGCATTAGTTGCATTATATTATGTAAGTCAAGGAGGATACCAAGGTGATTCTGATAAAAACTCAAAGCCTATGAGAGGAAAAGCTACAAAAGAAACAAAAATTACAGTAAATAAGGTAATTGCTGCACCAAGTGCAGATGTATCAAGTGCTACCAAACTTTAGAGGAAAAAGAGACTGTGCATGAAGGACTGAGGCCATAAACAGGTCACTGCCAGGCAAGCTTTACACACAGCTTATGAGGTTGGCAAAGAGCTTAGTTGGTTTGATTGAAGAGAGTGATTGAAATCCACTCTCCCAGGGAGAATCCAATGAGGCCTAATATTTTCTCAAAGAATTAAATGACAAAGTACTTTCCCATTCCACATCCTATTCAATGTATCCTATATATTCTATGTCCTATTCAAGTGGATGTAATTTTATACATACTTACAAATCAATGGAATTTTAGTGGTAAGGCTGGCCTTTAGAAGGTCATATAACTTCTATGTTTGAGGAAAGAAACGGAATGTAGAAAGGTAAAGTGGAAGGTCCATAGTCACCTAGCTAATTATTCTAAGCCTGAGTCAAAGTTGTAGAACTTGTCAAAAATGAACTTGTATTTTTACCTGAATAATCATCTCTGAATCATGATTAAACAACAGCAAATAATAATGCTGAGTCAAGAACCAGAAATACGGCCCCCTCAGCACTGCATCTGACAATGATAATGCTCATACAACTCCACCAGACTGGCCTGGGTTGTGGAGGAATGTCCTGCCTTATGTTAGGTTGCAGTGACATCACCAGAGAACTGAAGAGACAGAAGAAATAGTTTTAAAGACAGAGTATAGAAGTTTCGGGCAACACACCTCAGTTGTGGAAGAAAAATCCCACCTCTTGGTTTATTTTTCACTCTCAGCTTCAGATGAATGGTACACGTTTTAAGTGAATTAGAATTATTTTGCTTCACTGGTGCTTCGATTAAGTTTAAAACATAACAACAAGCAGCATTTTTGTTTACTACATGCCAGAACAGTGGCATTTTAAGTGCTTTATCTCATTTAATCCACCATGACAATCCTATTATTTTCTAAATTTCCCAGATGGGTCTTAAAGAGATTAAGCAATTTGCTCAAGATGCTGGGAGAACCAAATTTCAAAGCAGGCAGATGGCCTTTAATTCTTAACTACTACACTTTACTGCCCAAGGCAAAGAAAAACTACAACAGAGGTCACAAAATGTACCTGCACAGGAAGCAAATGCAGTCATGAACTCAGCATGAAAATGTCTGAGGTTCACAAATACACTTTGTCACATGAAAACAAAATAAATTACTCTATCATCATCTCAGACTCAAAGCCTACTTCAATTATGCAAGATAATGAAGGATTGCGAAATAATTTCTAAGTTAGGAGGTAATAGTCGCTGCTGCTGCTGCTGCTGCTGCTGCTGAATCCCGTTTTGGTGTGACTTCAACGATCTTCAAATGCAAATATGACCTTCCTTTGAACAGCTCTAACTTCCATTACACTATGACTAACTGGGAGCAGATTCTATGTATGAAGAAAAGAACGCAAAAAAATTGTCTTTTGAATAATCTCCTCATGCTCTTCCAACCCCTCAGGACTTCAAGTTTCCCTCTCTGTATTCACACTGTCTGCACAAGAGGACAGAACGAAAATGCAAAGACCATTAGCATCACAGTAAGTGCCAAGCTAGGTTTAAAAGGGGAGAGAGCACAATCGAGAAAATCCTATCCTTGGATATGCAATTCTTTTATCTACCCCTCTTGGTGAGCGCAAGCCTACTCTTACATCATGCTCCAGATGTTGTTTGCTTTTGAACATTCGGCGACATTCCCCTAGCTGCCTTGCCTACATTACCTTGTGTGACTGGATGAAGGATGAAACAGTTAATCCTTTGATTGTCCTACAAACGGGAGATGGATTCCTTGCTGTAGGTCAGAAAACTAGAAAACAAATACTGTTCCACTCCTTTCCAGATGGCTTCCTCTTACGTCCTATTACCATCCCTAACTATATAGCTATACTTTACCAATGCTTTCCATACACACTATCATCTTGGAGCTTCACAACAGAATTTGAAATAGGGTCTGTATCACTGCTCCCATTTTATGGTGACTGAAAGGAATTAAGGTCCCCGACGGGTTAGTCAGTGGCAAGCCCAGCCTGCCCAGTTCTCATCACCACCTCTCTCTGGGAATTCTGAAAGCAAGATCGGTGAACTCCCAAGCCTAAACTAGCTTAATCACTACTCACCCGCCTCTGACCTTCAATGAGCCACGACCTACACTTCTACCTACCCCAACACATTGACACGCAACGAGACGCTCGGCAAATACGGATCGATTTCATTAGCCTCCCCACCTGAATTACCAGTACAAAGTAGAAATCTCGGCACTGGTGCTGCAACCAGTCATTATAAAGGCCTATATCTTTTGGATGGAGGCAGGATTTGCCCCAAATGTCGCAGTTCCCTTTTGCCTGTCGCCCGGACCTAACCTTTCCCGTCTTACCTCTTAATGGTAAGGCTTCGGAACAGTGGATACCACGCGGAGAACTGACAGTGCAGCACATGCTCCTTCTTCATCCTCCAGCCGCCGCCGCCGCCGCTTCTCGGTTTCCTTCCAGCACCCTCTCGGAACCCTGGTCTCCCGTCCCGGAAGTGCCCGCCGAGCTATTTTGGTTTAAAATTCTTCCGGTCCGTAAACCAAGGAGGAAGTAGCCGAAAAGGGAGCAGAGGAGCAGATGCTTGCGGTGTACCTTTAGTGTACACTCATACACGCACGCACTCATAAACACACTGAGAGCCCCGATCCCAGAAAGGAGTTCCGGAAGTGTTGATAAGGGATTTTAAGAAGCGCACGCAACCCCACCCTCCGCCCCTTGCAGCCCAGCCGCACACTGCCCCGGAAAATAATCATCTAACACTAGGTCACCGGCCGGCGCTCTACGGGTGCCGGGAGGGGGCAAGCGCATATCCTGTTATTACCGCGAGGCGCTGCTGTGTCTCAAGCAGTAGCGCCGGCATCTCCTGACTCCGCCGCTTCGGACTCGTGCTTTTCTTCTTTCGTTCCCCTTCCCACAGGAGTATCCTTCCCTCCACCCCACACCTTGGAGTAGGTAACTGGGAGCGGGCCAGTCACGTAACACAGTCTTTGGGGAAAAGGGAGGGAGCACTTCTGGGGCGTGCGGACAGCCGCGCGCGTGTCCCGGTCCGCAGACAGGCTCGCGTACCCGGGAGCGAGAGGGCGATCGCTTCGGGCGCGGATGAGAGGGCAGTTTCAGAGGAAAACCACGGACTGGGGTAGACGAGCTGGGGCTCCTCGGAGCGGAGAAAGAGGAAACACCACCCCTAAATATTAGCGAGTGTAGTGGTCGAGGCATCTGCAAAGGCGGTAATGGCCCGTATTCATTCGTTTGCAAGGTAATGAGAGATGGGGAAGGAATCCTGTGTGTACGACCCTAGGGAGGTTCGACTTTGGAGATAGGAGAGGTGTCTCCTTTGAGCGTCCAGTTCTATTCCAGCCCTGCAAAAAATAGCAGCCTGGAAAAAAACAGCCAGATGTTATCAGTATCCATGCCGTGCTGGAATCCTAAGACAAAGTCCTAGTCGAACGTGTAATATTCTTTTTTCATCCGCATCTTCCCTTCTCTCCCTTTCTCTCGATCATCATCTTATTAATTTTCCTCTTTCCGTAATGACGTTATCAGATGGCAACCAGAGGGTAAAACATTAAGTTTACCACGTTTCCTTAAAACGATGAGTGAAAAACGCTTTTAAAAAAAAAAAAAAAACCTAGCCTTGCTACTTACGCATGCCTTGGACTTGTCCCAGGCACCTCTGCCTAAAGGCTCACATTTTAAGTATCTCCCTAAAATTGCCCGCTCCTACAGGTCCATCTATCCAGTTACAAATTAGAGGTAAGAACCCCGCAGACTACAGACCTAGTCATGAGGGTAATTACAGGATCCTCTGCCTATTTGGAGTTAGATACTCTTTCCCGGAGGGAATAGACATTGTTTCATGTTTCGTTTTTGTCAAAAATGTTACTAAGTGGCTTAGTTTGGAGAGCTGCTTTTAAAGATACGTTTTCAAAGCAGGCGTAAATAGATTATAGACTTGCAGTGTGTGATGGGGGAGGGATTGGCAGTAGTGGTTCATAAGTACTTCTGAGATCCAGGATTATGCAATCCTTCCTGTTTTGAGGGGGAAAAGAAGCATTCCATATACGCTGGAAGAAAGTGCCTGATTGCCAGATCTAAAACAGACCAAATGCTGGACGGGGTGGTGACTCAAATATTTATTTTGTTTAGACCTAGAAATAAACAAGTTGCAGCGGAAAGAAACGTTAGCCGTGATCGGGGTGAATTTGGATAAGGTATTTCCTGTTGAACATTAATAGATGTTTAGAAGCAAGCAGAAACCAGGAACGCAGTAATTCTGGGAGGAGTAACACATTAATATTAATAGTCCAGGAAACAGCGTAGAGGTTGAGGCAACTACAGAGCGTATACAGAGTTGAAATTTTTTTGTAGAGAAGCAGATAAGTTTGTAAACTTCATAGAGCCATTAGAGGGCAGGAATTTGATACAAATGTCTTTTATTCAAGCTATATACTTTAGATGTGTGTTCGGTAACTTTTATTATTACTCAGTTGATTTTAAATAAATCCTTACATGTTTAACCAGCGTCAACTAAACAGACCTTACAAACAGATGCTACAATATTTTGAATGGATACAGCTAAATTCACTTTCACCATTTTTTTATCCATGTTTTTCTTTTCTTCACTTACCCATAACATGTTTATATTCATCAAGTTTCTTCAATAAAACCTTTACAACAATTGAAATAGTTGCTTTTTCTCATGCACACCAGAAAATATCAGCCACGTGCTCATGGGGGAGGGGCTTTATTGTGCAATTCCAAATTAAATAAGTAAAAAAATTTTCCTTCTGAGAATCCCTAAGATGACTAATCCTTCTAGGTTAGACTTGCTAGTTTTCTGCACTTGGATATCGTGCCAACATCTCAGATTCAGTGTGTCCAAATTTGAATACTGCACCATCCCTTTCTCCCTCTGATGTCCCACTGTCCTATAAGATTATCTCCTTCTTGGAATTAGCTTTGGGAACCCCTTCCCCAGAAGCTGTTTTAGGAAAAGTACTAAATCTCATCTTCAAGGAAGGAATAAAATGTTTCTGTGCCACTACCACCACCCTAGTCCAAACCTGTCTGACCTCTTGCCTGGAGTATGTAAGAGGTTCTTCACTGGATTCATTACGGTGTAGCTGTAACCAATTAAACTTCCCCAGGGTAATTACAATCAGTTCACAGCCAGAACTAAATGTAATAATAATAAATCACCAAGAAGCGTAATTTCAGTAAAATGTTAGTTCCCTCCCTGCCCACCAATCCCATGCCTGCCAGAAAGAAAAAAAAAACTTTCCGTGGTCTTCCATCATTAACAGATAAAGTTGTTGGCAAAGAAAAGCTCACTTAAAGTGAATCCATTTGATGTGGATTCAAAACTTTTACCATAAATGGTACAAAAGAAAGGCTGATTAAAATATCTTTTAAAAATCTTAGTTTTTAAAATTTATGATTATAACCAAGATTATTACATATAACTATACAAATTCTTTGTTTACTATAAACCAAAAGGCTTTTCTGTGTGATTATTCTGAAGGAATGCAGCATTGCATCTTAGACATGCCTAAGCATCTGATGCTTGGCTTTAACAAAACGACTATGTAAAAAAATTTTTTTTTACATTCTTATGCAAAAGTTGATCCTCTCCCACTTAATTTCTCAAAGTGCCTTCTTGTCTCTATTCAATTACTAAACTGTTCCCACTGCCTGACCTTCCCTTTACAATCAGAAGTTTTGCTTATGATTTGAGCTCCTACATCTTTTTCTTGGTTGAGCATAGATGGTGTTTACAATAATCAACTTCTATCTGGGAGAGACTAGCAATGTATTTCTTGTGATTTTTGCTTCACTTTGCAACTTCACCAAACTGCAGGTATTCAGGTGTGGTTATAACTCAATAATGAGTATGCATATTCCACAGCCTGACTTTTGAGATTCTCAGTTTAACTTCTTGAATCTTAACTCCCACTTAACTTTAACCCTGCTGTTGTTACTATTGATGAAACATCCAAGTTGGTGAAAAAGTACTCCTTTCTCTCTTTGGCAAAGAACTGTGATAACCCAAGAGGAGCTCACAAAGCAACAAGAGTGGAGTGCTAGCTCGGGTGGTTGGGTGCTCTGTCTGCATGCAAATTAGGGGTAAGGGGACAGGCATCCAAATCTGTGTAAGACCTTGGAAATGTGCTTGCAAATGTTAACATTATCCATGATATGGGGGGTTTGAGGGGGGCTTTTTTGGAGGGGTGGGGAAGGGAAAGAGAACAGGGCTTGCCAAATTCCTGTTTTTCTCATCACTTCCCCCAGTTAGTGTCTTATGTTTTCATTCATGCAGTTCCTTCTTGGAATGCTTCCCTTGCCTTCTTGGTCTCAAAGTTGAATCTCAATATCAAATTGTCCTTTAGTAATGGCCTTTTAAGTCTTTACGATTTCCCCCACTTCTCCAGTGGATGAGATTTGTCCCTCGTGTAAAACACTCTGGTACTGCATTATCTCTGTAGCAGTCATTTGCCCTTCTGGTCATTTGTCTGCTGAACTGTAAGGTCCCAAGGGCAGGAAAAGTGGTTTGTTTGCACTTCGCATATACTCAAACATTTGAACTACCCATGCTCACAAAGCTAAGAGACTCCTGTCTGCCACTCTACAGGAATTCTAAGAATCCTGTGACATTTTGCCTCACTAGAGCTTTATGTGCCTGAGAAAAATCAGACATCTGATAAATCATGCACCCTCAGTATTCAACCATACCAAGTTAAAACAGACTACGTGAATCAAAACAGAACACTCAACATTATGTACATAAGTATTTTTTTTTAAGTAAAACACACATTGGCAGCAAAATACTGATGACTTGAAATTCTAGCTAGTGAAGTGCATAATCAATTCTAAATTAACTTAAATACTGAAATAGCCTTGAGTCAGTTCAGGAAAGCTCTATCATAGCGATAGGAGACAGGAGTGATAGAGACAAGAGTGCACAGCATGGGACGAAGACCTCATTAGTCTGCAGTGCAGTACCTGAAGGAACTAGCCCCCAAATGGCACCATTAGGCTTCTGTTTTTGAAATGGTGCTAAAAATAATATTCTTCTTCTGTTTCAGTAGTGTTTTTGAGGTGCTTTTATAATCCTGAACATTTTGGGAACCACATAATAAAGAATATACTTTTGAAATCACTCTTCACCCACATTTTGTATTATTTACACTGTAACTAGATTGCTACAGAGTGCTATTATCCCTTGGGGCTGGTGTATCCCAACTAATTACTCTAGAGAGGCCCAGCCCTGTTTGCCACTTTTTTTTCTTTTGATGTAATTTATGTCTGTAGCTTGTTTTTGTTTTCTAGCTAACATTCTGGTTATATTTTTGTTAATACAGTCTGTTTGAAACAACTGTTTCCAGTTTAACATTTGCCAAGGGAAGATGGATCTTTGATTACTGAGACTGTTCTGTAGCTGAATTTAACTAACTTGGTTAAATGAAGAGTAGTGGAGGAGGAACCACCCATCAAGAGGACCTTTTCACCTTTCTGACCACCAACAATCCTTTGAAAATTTGAGGGAACTAACACATAAGGGGACTTAGAAGATAACTTAAATGCCTTAAAGTTTTATGTAAATCTGAAGGAACTGTCCCTTTGTCCAAGATAACTCACATGGCAGTGAGGGAAGGACCTCTATGCTCTTCTACATTAGGTATTACCATTTGGAGTGTCCAGACTACGAACACTTCTCATAGAGAAAATGGGAGATCATCTAGTTCTTCCTTCAGTATCTCCTGGTGGTGCTTATACTTTTGAGGACTGCAGTTGTCAGCTTTTAAGAAGATGGAGAAACAGAATAGTTTCTTGGGATCTGTGTCACTTTGTAAAGGGAGATTGAAATTTAACTTAGTCCAAGCATTTTGTATCATTCTAGACCGATTATGTTGTGCACTAAATGGGGTTGCTTGGTTGTCTAAAAGTTATTTTCTCTTTATGAGTTAGATTGCAAGTGGAGGAAATTTTCCTTCTCTAGAACGGAATGGAAGCCTAAAAGATAAAAATCTGGGTAAAGTTCTTTATCTGAGTGCACACAGGTAGAGACAAGTAGCTGCCCTGTGGTTCATCTGGGTCAGCACACTCTTTTGATGGCCTGTGATAATGCAAATGATTTGTCCTATGTAAATCAATGCCAGTTAAAAGTTTACCTAATAAACTGCCTAAAAGCACGGGGACTTTGATGGGGATAACTGCTTGTTTTCTTATGCTCTCTGCATATAGTCACTGTGCTAAATGACTGTCTCTAAATACCTGGTATCTGTGTAGCTTACTTTATTATTTTCAACTGTCACAAATTAAAGAGGCCTTTCCTGAGCACTCCATGTAAATTAGTACACCCACCACCACCGCCCTGCTGCCAATCTTGCACCCTTCGTATCCTTCTTAACCTTTCTTCTTAAAACCTAGTCCTCTGACGTAAGTTTTACATATTCTCTCTCACTTCCTCACCACCAGAAGCGCCTGGAGGGCAAGACCTGTGTCTGTTCTGTCTATTGCTTGGTGTTCCCAGCACAGAGGCTGTTACCTCACTTTCGGTGGGTCTGCCACATGCTGCTTTAACTGAGAGTTATCTGAGATACTCCATCAGTATTTGGTTTTTGTGAATATTTATAGTTTGTGCGTACTTCACAGTTTAAGCGAGTGTGAAGATATACACACATTTTTTCTCTCATTCTCATTAAGTGGTTATTTTTGTTTCTTTAGCATATAGTCATCTTTCTTAACCTAAGACCTCAAATACTGCTTCTTTGCCAAAGTTCTTATTAGAAATTGAATTCCTAGGTTTGCCCATAATCTGCAAACAACAATGTTGATAACATTTTAATGCAACAGAAATACATGTTGACTATCAGGCCAAATAGACACGTGGAGGACAGTAAAATGGTTGCTCGATGCAGTGACGCAGAGTATTACTAGCCTACTGAGTCCACAGCAGAACTTGAACTAGTCTCCTGGGCTTTGTCAGTCTTTGGACCCAAGGTGACCTTCAGCAGCCCAACTATCCGGAACATTTTGCCTGTTGGGGATTTTAAGACTGCAAACGTTTCTGTTAATTGAGATATAATGGACGTACCTTAAAATTCACCTTCTTAAATTGTAAAATTCAGTAGTCTTTAGTATATTCACAAGATTATGCCACCATCACCACTATTTAATTCCAGAACATTTTCATCCAAAAAAAACCTCGTGCCAATAAGCAGTCACTCCCTATTCCCTCCTTTCCCCAGTCCCTTGGCAACCACTAATATGCTTTCTCTATCTACAGATTTGTGTATTCTGGATATTTCATTTAAATGGAACCATACAATATGTGGCCTGTGGTGTCTGGCTTCCTTCACTCAGCATAAAGTGTTCAAGGTTCATCCATGCTGTAGCATGTACCAGTGTTGTGTTCCTTTTCTTGGCTGAATAATATTCCATTGTGTGGAACACCATATTTTATTTATCCAATCAACAATTGATAGACATTTATATTGTCTCCACTTTGGGGCTATTATGAATAATACTGTTATGAATATTTATGAACAAGTTTTTGTGTGTGCATGTTTTCTCTTGGTTGCATACCTAGGAGTGAAATCCTGTCAAATGGGAACTCTATAGTTAACCTTTGGAGGAACCTACCAGACTGTTTTCCAAAGTAGCTACATTCCTGCCAACACTGTATGAGCGTCCTATTTTTACCGAATCCTCACCAATACTTGTTATAATCCTTTATTATCATCATTTTAGTGAACTGGTATCTCATGGTGGTTTTGATTTGCCTTTCCCTGATGGCTAATGATGTTAAGTATACTTTGACATGCTTACTGGCCATTTGTATTTCTCCTTTGAGGAGATGTCTATTCAGATTTGCTTATTTTCAATTAGGTTGTCTTCTAATTATTGTGTCTTAAGAGGTTTTTTTACATATTTCAGTTATAAATCTCCTGTCAGATTTGTACTTTTTTCCCCTTTCGATGGGTTGTTTTTAATATCTTGATGGTATCCTTTGAAGCACTAAAGTTTTTAGTTTTGGTCAAGTCCAGTTTATCTTTTCTTTGGTTGCTTATCTAAAAGAACATAACGTAATCCAAGATTATGAAAATGTATAATTGTTTTCTTCTAAGGTTTTGTCGTTTTAGCTCTTATATTTGGTCTTTGATCCATTTTGAGTTAATTTTTATAAAAGGTGTTAAGTAGGGGTTCATTTTCATTTTTATGCATGTCTATCTAATCTCTGAACAATTTGTTGAAAAAATGAGTCTTTACCCTATTGAATTGTCTTGGTACTCGTGTTGAAAATCAACTTGCCATAAATCTATGGTTTTAGTTCTGGCCTCTCAATTCTGTTCCATCAGTATATATGCCTGTCCTTATGCCTATAGCCATGGCTTTTAGTTTTGAAATATACTATGGCTTTTAGTTTTGAAATCAGGAATTGTGACTTTAACTTTGTGCCAAGATGATTTTGAAATTGAGTTTAACTAACTTAGTCAAATAAAGAAAAGTAGATAAGGAACTGTTCTTGAGAACAAGTCTAAGCAGGCACCAAAGTAACCTAATTATTAGGAACAGAATGGCTCTCTAGACTTACCGAACCAGATTCACTTTATTCTGTCTTTCATTTATTCAGCAGTGATTGTAGGGAGTTTTTATAGCAACATAACTGTGTGCAATGTTGAAAGTTGAATAATGTAAAGAAAAATCTAGTGTCCAGGAGATAGTTTTGGAAAACATTTCTTCCCAAGTGAGAGACATTAAGATTTTTAACCCAAACAGTGATAGTAGGGATAGCACACTTTCAATAAATTATTAGGATTTGTAATGGGTAAATTATGGTTAGTAAAGAGTAAAGGAGAATTAGTTGGAGGTAACTAATAATTCTAGCTTAGAGATAATGGACAAAAGTAGTTAGCAGAGTAGATTGCAATGTGCTGAGGAAAGATACACAGCATTATCATCTGTGGTTTCAAGAAGTCTGACAGGTTGGAGGAGAGAACAGCGTTGTAATAAGATTGAATGTTTTTGTTTTGCTGGTGTGCTTTAGGGTCGGTGAGACTTGTTGTTTGACATAAAAATTGAAGATGTGATAGGTAGTTTATTTATCACCTTAGGTCCCAGAAGAAACAGAAAGCAAAGACATGTTCTCCTCTAAGCAGTACAAGAGAGTTGTTGCTTGATGGTCTGTATTTTCCCTGGAGCTAAAGTTAGGAGGTAGAAAGGTTAGGAAACTGTGGATCTTAAAAGTGTGAAGGGTAGAACAGCCACTGAGAAATGTAGATAAAATAAGAAGGAAACAGAAAATAGGAATGAAAAAGACAAGACAGAGGATCAATTCAGGAAGTCCAACAGCATCAGTTCCCGAAAAAGATAACAGAAGACTGAAGGGAGGAAATGATCAGTGAATTAATTCAAGGGAAGTTCCCCATAAGGAGATACAGAGGTTTCCAGATTGGAAGGACCCACTTGAGTACCCTATACAAAAACATCAACATGCAGACATGAAAACTACAAGTTTCCAGAGAAAGAAAATGGGTCACAGAGAAAAAGAATCAAGAATCAGAATGGCTTCAGATTTCTCAACAGCAAAACCAGAAGCAACACAGCTGGCAATGCCTCTAAATTTCTGATAGAAAATAATTTTTCAGCCCATAATTCTATATGCAGCCAGATTACCAATCAACTTTGAGGGTAGAAAAAAAGACTTTCAGACATTCAGGGTACAAAAATGGGGAGATAAGCCAAGATAGAGGAAGTAGCAGAACCCAAAAAATGGGGTAGGGCCTGCTCATTTCCTAACACATCCCCTAGGACAACTCAGTACCTGCAGCTGCGACTTAGATACATGTTAAAACTTTAAAGTGAATGGGCCACAGTGTGAATGTATTTAATGCCACTGAACTGTACTATATTTAAAGTATTAAATGGTACATCTATTTATCGTAAGTTAAAAAAAAAAAGATAAAAGGGAGGTAGAGCCAGCCAGCCTATACAACTGTTAACAGTTTAGCTGTAAAGGGCTGATAAGGGACAGACAGTAGGTGCAGGGTGGGTGTAGGGAGTGGTGTCCAGTCTGTACAGTTTCCCCCTTGCAAAGTTTTTAAAATTTGGAGTCAGACTATCTGAAACTGAATCGAAGTGCCTAGTGCATGGACAGTGGGAACTTGGCTAATGTGGGCTGCATCTAACTGGATGGCTTTCCGTTCCTTCCTGGATGCTTCCAGAGGTTTGCAGTTCCTTCTCCACCTGGGGCAGTTCTCCCAGACCTTCACATGAGACAGGCAGCTTTGATGATGTTTTTTGCCACTTAAGTACTTTGACCAGTGACCTATGGACAAATTAATTCAGAAAAATGTGTGTAGCCTAAACAAATCTTATTATTTTACAGCGTGAACTTCTTGCCTGAAGACTATAAAAACTAACTAGCTTGAAAATGGAAAACCAAGAATCAGCGGAGTCTTCTCAAAATACCAAACAGTCTATTATTTCAGAGGAGGTATAAATTGTTCACTTCCCTTCCCCCTCCCCACATAAAGCTGAGTTTCAAAGAAAGATGTAGACTGCTGTTTCAAATGATGGCTTACAAGTCAAAGACAACTTTTCAAGGGTATTTCCGCTCCCTTTTTAGGGCTCTGGGAAATTTTGCTCTTGTGGTGGGAGCATTAGGTGTATCCCTCTTAATGAGTGAAATTGAGACTTTCTTCAAAAGTGGATTTGACTGTTCATACAAAAATTCTCTATTAAAAGTTTCCCTAGGTGGAAGTATAAATCATATATGAGTTTTTAGGGCTGAGACATTTCATACTTAGTTATATCTTAGCTATTTATGGTCTTAATACATATGTTTTTTTTTTTTTTTGAGAGGGCATCTCTCATATTTATTGATCAAATGGTTGTTAACAACAATAAAATTCTGTATAGGGGACTCAATGCACAATCATTAATCAACCCCAAGCCTAATTCTCAACAGTCTCCAATCTTCTGAAGCATAACGAACAAGTTCTTACATGGTGAACAAGTTCTTACATAGTGAGTAAGTTCTTACATGGTGAACAGTGCAAGGGCAGTCATATCACAGAAACTTTTGGTTTTGATCACGCATCATGAACTATAAACAATCAGGTCAGATATGATTATTCATTTGATTTTTATACTTAATTTATATGTGAATCCCACATTTCTCCCTTTTTTTTTTTAATAAAATGCTGAAGTGGTAGGTAGATGCAAGATAAAGGTAGAAACCATAATTTAGTGCTGTAAGAAGGCAAATGTAGATGATCAGGTCTGTGCTTATAGACTAAGTATTACTCCAAGCTAGGCAAGGGCAACAAAACATCCGCGGATGCAGAAGATTTCTCTCAAAATGGGGGGAATATGTATGTTTTTAAGAACAATAAAAACCTAAGTTGTTAGTCTAATTCCAGAACTAATGTATGTCTTACATGTTACTCAGTTTAGCATTTAAAAAGTCTATTTCTGCAGGAACCATTGCAATGGATAAATTTTAATACTCCATCTTAGAACTCTAATCTTGATACCTTTCTGCAATTCTTTTTGACTTAAAAAGTTTTCCTTGTTTGTCAATAGATTTGTTTAATAATTATTAGGTTGCTGCTGGCAAGAAGTAAAGATAGGATGGTAAGAAAAACGCTACTGCTTTATGTATACAGTGACACCTTCCTCTCAGTTCAAGGTAGTACCATAGGAAAGTTAGTCCTGGAAACCTAACCTCCTTGGTGTCTAGGCAGAACAATCCTGGGGTCCCTGTTCCAGAATGGGTGGGAAACCCAGTCATTGAACAAGGTTTCCCCCATCACCAGCTTTCCTGTGTAGTCATTGACAGTAAAATGCCACTGAGTTTTACATATTAACCCCACCTGTGTGACTGGCACCCAGATCACAGGATAGAATATTTGGAGCACCCCAGAAACCCCCTCACTCCCTGTGCTCCCTGACTACCCCCTTCACCCCTACACCTGCCACCCAAGAGTTTTCCCACTAGCATTTCTTTTCACTGCTCACTGAAATCAGAGGTGAAACTCTCTCTCCAAAAAGAAGAGACCCACCTTTCAGAAAAACAACTTTGAACTGAAAACTTACACAAAATTATTGGGAGGGAAACATGATGATTGAGAGAGCCACAGAGAGAAAATGTGAAAATAAACTAAATAAAAACAACTCGGTTAGAAAGTTTCCCAACTTACTGTCTGATCTTTTAGTTAATTTCAGAAGGAAAATGGATCAAGTTTGAAAAAACAACTTACATGGATCCTACTGGTAAAATAAGGTAAACAATTTTTTTCCTTTTGTGAAATGCTCAGTATTTGGGTTTTCAGGGTCTGTATTTAGTGTTTGACATAAACTTTGATGTTTTCCTCATTGTAAATTCTATATTAAAGAATATAATTTAGTATTTTCCCATTGGAAAATTTATAATCTCTGAATAAAATTATGTGGTAAATTTATAGTATCTAATCAGGAATATTTTAACATCATTCTTCCCAAGTAGATTAGTGTGAACCTAAAACTTTTGAACCAAAACTAACTTAAGCTGGTAAAGCAGCAGAATAATTAACAGAACAGGTTATTTCCTTCTACTTAAAGCAATTTTTAACTTCTAAATTAGAAGAGTTAAAGAGAAAACATTGCTGGGTTGAGGTAAAACTTACATACTTACACTTGCTCACGCAAACATAAATTCGAGGAAAAAAGTTCCATAAAGCATTTCACATTATGTACCAAGTAAAGATGGTGCCCTCTGACCTGCTAATCCCACTTCTGAGACTATGCTAAGAAAACTATTTGGAATCCAATTATGCTTGGAAAATGTTCATCAAAATTTAAAAAGACAAAGATAAATTGAAAGCAGCTTAGCAATCTTAAAAATAGGGAATGTGTTAAAGTACATTCATTTGGTAATATCTGTAGCCATCTATAAAGCAGGTTATAAAGACAATCTAGCAATACAATAAATATAAGTTGATAACCAAATAGGAAATTGTATATATGCTTTTAAATTCTGCCAAATAATAAGGAAGAAAAGGCTAGAAGGAAAACTAATAGCAAAACATTAATGGCAGTGGTAACCTTTTTTCTTCTATTTCCCATATTTTGTTAGCATGCTATTTTCTGATATAAAAACCACAGGAAAAAAGTGTTAAAACAGATTAAGCATTTACTTAGTGAAATAAAAGAAGCAAGGAAAGAGAATGAGATAATACGAAAATAACTATATTTAGTGTCCAAATTACATGATATAAATTCATTAAAAAAAACTCCACATGCTAAGTGATCAAATAAGAATAGTTTGTGAGGAACTGCATCTGTTATAACTATAAAAGTATATGAACTTGCCAGTCATTTTAACAGCTTTTATCTACTAAATTAACAAAAAATATTAATAAGGCCCAGTGTTGGAAAGCTATAGAAAATATTAAGGTATCTATAGCACTGTTAACTTAAAATCCCAAATTAATAAAGCTAATAAGTACACTATGATCCATCAACACAGTGGAAGAGAATAGTTTAATACTTGAAGTGAATTTGAGGTGTAGAACTAAAAATAAGAAGAGGATACAGAAATATGACAAGGTCTGAGCCTTAGGGAATATAGTATGTTCAAATGTACTTATATTTGTGAAAGTGCAGAGATTAGAACCCAGTTTACAGTGATAGAGTTTGGATCTCTTTTCCCATTAAGTTGTTCAACTTTATAATATAGATAAAAATATAACCCTTAACAATAATTAATCTGAACTGTATGTGTTGGTTCACACCAGTTCATCTACTTGATTCCTTCTCCCTTCCTGCATCTTTTCATCAGGAATGTGCCCCAGAGTCATTGGGAGACTTTTTTCAAAATATTCTTGTCTAGGTCTCACCTCCAGAGAGTCTGTTTTGGTAATTTAGTTGTGGACTCAAAAGAGTCCACCAGTCATACCCCTGTAGCCTGTTAGGGCATTTTCACTACAGTTTTCATACATGGGTCTTCACACAGCCTCCAAAGAGGTCTTCTATGTAAAGCATTAACATTTCATACCAGAATGTCAAACTGTGAAGAATAAATTTCTGTACTTTCCAAAGCTATCATTTATTAATTTATAAAACATTTTACCTATTAACTCACATAAAAGCATATATGTAAGGATAAAACAGCAGCCAAAGAATCCTTTGTCCCACCGTCTTATTCATGGGCAGGGATATGGAACTGACTCTAGAAGTATAAAGAAGTGCTGGCAGTGTGCCCTTTCTTGACATTCACGATAGAGCTGAAGAGTCATCCTTTGTCACCATTCCCACTCTTGTTTGTAGACTACAGAGAAGAAAGCAAAATAGTCTTTCCTGTGACAAAGACCAAAAAATGAAGTAACTTTGCTAGAATCAGAATTCTAAGGCTCCAAGAGGCTTTTGGGGCAATACTCAACCCCATAGTTTAACAAATGACAAAACAACTCTCTAGCAGGTTGTGGCTGTTGGGGTCCACTAGTAGGCAAGTAGAGACTAAGATTTTCTGACTCAAGCAAGGGTCATCTCTGATCCCCTTTAAGATGACTAGCAGCTCCTAGGCATTCTTGTTCTTGTATTCCTTAGAAATGCACTTATATCTTACTGTTCATAATTTATGGCTCATGACTGCTTATGGACTTCATCTGAACCACTGTAATGACGCTGCTCTTCTTGTTTCCCTTACTCCTAGTGTGTTTGGGATGGGACCATCAGTGCTTCTCCCAGTACTGTCTTCTTCAGTCTTTAGGACTAACCTTAAGAGGCAGCAGACAGAGCTATGCCAAAAGGTGTTTTGTCTCTTGCGATCTGTATTATTCACTCATCAGAACTGCTTGTTGGTTGGCTTCTTGCTACTAACAGGAATGTTGGGCAGCTGTGAGGTGTCTAGTAGACTGCTTCATTTGCACAGGTTCATTTTGACACAGTTGCACTTTAGAATTTGGGTACAATATTGAGATAGTACAGTTTACCAAAAAGAAAAAATTTTAAGCAGGTAATTATTTGGGCTTTTTTTTTTTTCATATTAGTGTGGCAAGGTCCAAACCTTAAGGACAACCAGATAAAAAGGATGAAGGGGTCCCTGAGTAGTATACCTGGTACCTAGTCTTACTTAGGGAGACAGATGTTGAAAGCCGCTCTTGATGTCTTTTTCTTAGAGCAGAAAATTGTTTCTTCACTCCGATCTCTTACCTCTGCTTTTTTTATGTTAAAAGGATAAGGAAGAGATGGGAGAAGTTCCCTCCAATGCCCTTCCCACCCACCCCAAACGGTGTGATTTTACCAGTAATTGCACTTAATCCCAGAAACAAATAGCTAAGATAAACTATCAGAGGGAGCGGGCAAGCTGCTGTTACTTATCTTTTTCCTTCAGTGGACCATTTTCCCCTTAGATAAGATCTCACACATGCAAAATAGAGCACTTCACCCAAAGTAGTAATTCCTCAGTTAATGAATGGGCTGGCCTTGCTGTCTTAAATCCTGTATTTCAGGTCACAGATTTTAAAACCTAAACTGTAAATAACTGGCTCAATAGGTCATATTATGCACAGTATCTTTGTTCTTGGGAGTTAAGGATGGAATTTTCAGAGGCTTAATTTGAAGACTGCTTTTTAGTCTTTGAAGTTGTGATCACCAGCTGCGCTGCTCACCTGTAGATTTAAGACTCAAAGTGAAGTGTTTCAAGTAAACAATTTGAAAGGCGGCTCAAGTGATCAATGGGCCTTCTATGTAGATGTCATTGTGGGGATTAAATATACAGTGACAAATTTTCTTGGGTAATTTTCAGAAGCTACAGGAAAGCACAGTTGGCTTTTTTTAATACACATGTACATGTATTGTTGTGGTCTTCTTGACCATTATCATTAGTACATTTGCATGCTTTGCATTTTAAAGGTCTGGTTATAGGCAAAAACCCAAGTACATTCTCTGTAGAACTAATGATTTTTTTTTTCTTCTCTGCCTGAACAGAACCTGGGAAACTGTGAAACGTACAACCAGGAAAGGACAGTCGGCTGATGGTATGAGCGCAAACCCATCACAGCTCTTCATAAAGGAAGTCACCACACATGATTGTAGGAGGCCAGGTGTAGATTTATTTACTGTAACCAAGACCTCAGAGCAATTATCTTCAAGTATGATCTTTACCTTTAGTTCTTACATTCACTTTTGCAATACTGTGTGACTAAATCAAACTTTCTTTATAAATAACTTCTGGTTCCATTATCTAAGCTCAAAACAGCAATTTTGAATGAAAGATGTGCTACTAATTACAAGCAAACGTAAATCGGTATAATTGGAAGCCACATACTTTGTCTTGACATGTTGTGACTTCTAGAAATCTCTTGTATTCTGTTCCAGGGATCTAGGTGAGAGCCTTTAGTGTGAAAGTTATTTGGCACTACTTGATGTTTATCGGCCACTTGCTTTATATATTGATGAAGTGGAACTGGACCATTTGTTCAGTTCCCTTTCCCTTCCAGGCATGAATGCTTTGCCTACAAAGATCCCAGAAACAATCCTGAAAAATCACCTCTGGTCTGGGGAAAGTTGGGCAATAGGTCTTCCTTGTTTTTCCATTTCATTTTGGTTTGTTTTATTAGAAGCAAACAGGAGTGGCTGCCACAGCTGCTGTTTCTGCCTGCCAGGAAAGTGTTTGTGGGGAGCCCAGTGCTCCTCCTGGGTGGTTTTCTAGAACCCAGAGGATTTTTTTTTTAATTTAAAGCCAAGTGAAACTCCTCTCTCTCTTTTCGGAGAAACAGTCTTTCATCCCAAAACAATAAATTCAGTCTTGCTAGCATACACTACAGCAATGGGACTTACTTGATTTTTTGCTTAAAGGAAATCCAAGAGCACACAGATCAGCATAGCTTCACCACTGGTGTGGCTGCTGCAGGGTGAGAGAACGGTTTCTGTAGAGTGGTATAGACTGAAATTTTGTCCTTGGCCCTGTGCTAAATGTTTGCTGACCTTTCATTAGGGATTTCCTTGGTTTTATTTCCTGGGGACAGGTGTGGCGGTTATCCCGGTGCTGCAAAGAACTCTTCACTACGAATGTGTTGTTCTGGTGAAACAGTTCCGACCACCAATGGGATGCTACTGCCTAGAATTCCCCGCAGGTGAGTAACTCATCCCAGGAACAGAATCGCTTCTCAGGGACTGCTGGGCTGAGCTGGAGAATTGCAGTGCTTAGATATGTAATGTCTTTTTTATCTGTACATGTGGTTTTAACTAAAACGAACTCATTTCTTCAGTGAGGTGCCACCAGTCACAGTCTAGTGAGCCACTAACTCTTGGAGGTGACAAGGCATGGTGTCAGAACTTTCCTTCCAGGCTCCTCCTTTTTTCTAGCCTCTCTCTGAGTAATTGTTTTTCCCTAATGTGTCAGCTTCTTGCATTGTCTAAGTCACTAGCAATCTGCCTTAAACAAGAAATTTACAGTAATAACTAGGCCAGACTCAACTCCAAAAACTGAATGGAAAAGACATCTTGATTCTCTTGTATGTATAGAGGCTAGGAAATCATCTTAATTTCAAGTAGAGTATTTTTCCAGTTGCACAAGTAAAGCTATCCAGAATTTAATGTACTGTATTGTAGACTTAATTGGGTTGTGCCTATCTGAAGAGATTAGATCTGATTTATTTATCATTAGTGGCTTAGGCTTTGTATTTTTAAAGTCCATCCCATAGTAATGTGTAACAACTTTAATTTTCTTTCTCATTTACTCACCATTTCACTGAAGAAATTAAGAACTGTAAAAGTAACTAGCCTGTATTTCACTTTTTATTTACATTTTTTTATTCTTTTCAGGTAAAATAATCCAGGTTTGCTTCTCTCCTCCTCCTCCTGCTTGGCCTCTGTCTAATTACTTCTCACGATGAACACAGTAGTTCCCTAAAGGCCACCAGCCCTCCATTCTCTCCTTTCTCCTCTTCTTCCTCACAGGGACTCAATATTGTTAAGAAAGGGAGGAAGGCAAGGTAGTAACACTGTCACATGAGGAACAGAAGAAAGTAACAGGTGTCCTGAGCTGTCACCACATGACTGTCTGAACCCAGGCCAGTTAGCCACTGAGCCCCTTACCCTGCAGGAGGTTACTGGTGTCCATGCCGTAAAGAATCGTTAGTGCCAAGGTGCTCATTTAAAGAGCCAGACAATAGCTATCAGAACCTACTTAACTTTGGCCTTCTTTTTCTATAAAAGTTCCAAACTCCAGCTTTATCTGTCCGACCCCTTTTCACAATACATACAGGATTCTTCTCACATAGCTCAGCAGCAACTACAAGGTTCAGAGAAAACTGGATTGCGTGCTCCCACTTCACAAATGGTTTGGACTTCCAGGTCTCATAGACGATGATGAAAGCCCAGAAGCAGCTGCCCTCCGGGAGCTTGAGGAGGAAACTGGCTATAAAGGTGACATTGCTGAATGTTCTCCAGGTTTGTATTGCTTCCACATGTGCAACTGGGAATAAACTCTTGAAAACCAGCCAAGCAGTAATAGATTCTTCTGTGTGTAAAAGGATTGTTTGGGTGGTCTTTATGGTCAGAATGCAGATGGCTTTTATTTTGGCTAATGTGAAAGAGAAATCATAATTAGATTTGGTCACCATCTACAAGTGAATCTCTCCTCCCCTTGAAAGCAAACTTGAGCCACAAGGACATCAAGCTGGAGAAGTACAAAACTCAGTTGCCTGAGTTCCCCACATTCTGAGCTTTCTTACTTACCTCACCATGAGCCATGCTCTTCACTAGATTTTTCTCAATGTGGTGAAACGATTTCACATGTCACTACTGTCTAGTCCCTCAGACTTACCAGAGTTTACTTAGGAACCCAGGGAAAAAGAAGTGCTGATTACATCCATGCTCTTCCACCCTAGAGCACACACTAAGCGTACAGGGTAAACTAGTTTTCCTGCATCCATTCTGTCAACTGTGGATTATGAGCCCAGGCTTCTGAAGACATTTAGGTCATGAACCAAACAATATCTGCGAAGGTGATCTGTTGCTTCTCTCCACAGCTCTATGCACAGACCCAGGTTTGTCAAACTGTACCACACACATGGTGACAGTGACCATCAATGGAGATGATGCTGAAAATGTAAGACCTAAGCCAAAGCCAGGTAAGAGCACTGGCTGTGCTTAAGGTGGCGGAAGTGCATTAAGTATCTCGTAACTTGCTACTGGTTGGATTGGATTTGTGCTGTGTTAGAAGAATGAGTCTTTCGTAGATCCTTCAGCAGTACTTGTTTTCCCTAATCTTGTGTATTTTAGCGTTTTTCTTTTACAATTTGATTTGTATGCTTTCTTTATATAAATGTCAAATGACATATTCCCATATTTTCTAGATAGAGTTGATCACATTTAGTAATATAAGCTACAGATCTAAATAGTAGACAATGAAAATATTCAAAGTCACTCTGATTTCTTCCTTCACATATAAAGACTGCATCAGGTAATTCTTCCAGTGCAGCAGCTTGTTGACTCTTTGTTGAGTTTCTTATCTAGAGAAGCTTTTAGGAAATTCTTGCTATATACTACTTCTTAGCAAGTCTGGAAGCAGAAGCTTTAATGCCTGCCAGCTTCACGTCCTCTCCCACCCCCTCAGAGGTGCTGACACATAACTACAATCAGTCATGTAGCAGAGCAATGGTCTTCCATTTCTTATCCTCTTTAGTTGTTCCTAAATGTTGCAGTGTCCCATTGCAGCTAATTTTAAATGCTTTATTTTCAGAGTAGCAAACAGACATATAACACTGCTGTGGATAAGAGTTTGGCAGCTCTGAGAGCTAAACATAGAATTACCATATGATCCAGCAAGTCCATGCCTAGGTATATACCCAAAATAATTGAAAGCAGGGGCTCAAACAGATATTCATACATCAGTGTCCATATAGCATTACTCACAATACCCAAATGCTAGAAAAAACTTAAGTGTCCATTAACAGATGAAACAAAATGTGGTGTATGTATATAAGTGGAGTGCTATTCAGGCATAAGAGAATGAAACATGCTGATACACACCGTATCCTGGATGAGTCTTGAAAACATTGTGCCAAATGCTTTTTTGAGCCAGACACAGAAGGACAAATATTGTGTAATTCCGCTAATATTAGGCACCTAAAATTAATACATTCTTAGAGACAAGAAGTAGAAGAGAGGTCACCAGGGATGGAAAGTCATTGTTTGATTTGTTTCTGTTTGGGATCATGAAATGGTTCTGGAGACAGAGCGTGTGGATGACATTAACAGCATAAATGGATTTAATGCCACTGAATTGTACCTTTCAAAACAGTTTAAGTGGCAAATATTATGTATATTTTAACACAATTTTAAAATACAGATATAACAATATGCTTGAAATTTTTCTACTAAACATTAGATTTGGGGGAACAACAGCTTTGTACTGTTGTATTTGGTACATTTTTTGCTATGTAAATAAATTAGTGGAGACTCAGCCATGTATATAAATTTGTACGGCCTTTTTGATATGTCTTGCACAAGAGTCTTCCAGTGTGTTATCACTGCAGGTCTTGCTAAAATGTTTTTCTGTTTATTTTCAGGAGATGGAGGTATGTTACTCAACTCCCAGTGGCTGACCGTGTCTATGGCTTAGTGTAGTGGCAGTGGCTACAGGCATTTTGTGGTGTTCTGGTAGGCTCTCTTGTGCTTTACTTTGTTTTCATTTGTACTTTGTTTGTTTAGAATTTGTGGAAGTAATTTCCTTACCAAAGAATGACCTGCTGAAGAGAATTGATGGTAAGCATTCTCAAGATTGTTACCCAGCTTTCTTTTTCTCCATCCCCAGCAAATGGGGTACTAAGTAGAATTCTGTCTCTTTATATTCTTCCTCATTTAGGTCAAATACCTAGATCACTTAGGTCAAATACCTAGAATCTTGTAAAACTGCCATTGACCACTAACAGTTGTACTTTCTGGGTGATTCAGTTTGAAAACATGAGCAAAACATTTTATGTCAAGTGAAAGCTTTCAGTAGGGGCTTTATTCCCTATAGAATTGTCAAGTTTATATTCCTGTTCACTAGCCAAAACTATTCTATACTTTAAGTCTTTAATCCATGGCAATGCAGAGGCATAAGAGTAGATAACTCTTAGTGGAGCCTCAAGTATGCTAGTATATTGGATGGGTCTTTGTGCAGGGTATAAATTAAAAGACAGTTTAGCGATACTTCGTCTACAAATATTGAGGTATCTCACATACTGAATGTGATATGCCGATAAAAAGAACCCAACTCACCAGCAGTGTGACCCTTCGTAAATTGCTGGTCATGTACATCACTGTGTAATTCACGGCTAGCCCATCATAGGGATTTTGTAAAAAACTAGATTATGTGGACAGATGTCCTTTGATGTAACTACACTAGGAAACACTGTACTGAAGACATGATAGGCTCTTCATGGAGCTCCTCTATGCCAGTTGGATAGGCCCCATTCACCTTTTAATAAGGAAATGGATAATCTTCATAATTTGAGTCTTTTTAAGTTTTTATTTCAAAAATTAACTTGAAGCACTGTTTTGATCCAAAGTTTTGAAAGCAGTCCCTTCCTTCCATAAGTACCAGTGGCTTATAATTTTATTTTTGTTTGTGTTGTTGGCTTGAAAATTGAAAGTGGGTCTTTAAAAAACTGCTGTGATTTCATATTCCCAGAAAGCTTCCATTCCTACTTTACCTTTTTGAAAATTAGACCTACGGTAAAAACCACCTTAAGTTCTCAAAGTCAGAGTTAGAAATACTCATCCTGAAGAGATGCTGTAATTTATTAGGCATTTACTTAGAAAGCCATGGCTATCAATAATAGTACAGCATTGGGTCTGACAGGTCTGACTGGGTCTGAGGATCTTCCATTAGTTATGACCTTGAATGGGCTCCATGCCTTTCTAAGCTTTTCTCATAAAAGGAACAAGATGTCGCGCCTGCCACTGAGAAGGAGGCATGAGTAAAATTAAGCAAGATAATGTTAGCACACAAGTGCTTAAATGTTCTATCCTGTATGTTTTTCCTTTTTTTATGTAAGAGTAGTATTCTTCCTTCTCTCTTCCACCTAACTTAACTTACCTTCTGGCCTTAGCACTTGCATGCATAGAAGAGTAGGACATAATCCTGCCTTCGAAGATCAAAATGCCTCTGAGCTTATTCCCAAACAAGTGACCAGGAAAACAAGACAGATTCCAAGTCTGACAGCTACCATCTGAGTGAAACAGAAGTACCATCTGAGACCTCATTGGTGATAGAATTCCAGTTGTCACACATACAGTTTAACTTGCATGTGGAAAGTACATATCCCATAGCAGTGGAAGACACGTGACTCCCTACATAACGTAAAGTGCTGAATAATTACTGCTGTATAGTGTCCAGGTAGCAAAGCCCTACACAGAGTTATACATGAAGTAATAACTAGATCTATAAACTTAGAGCTTTGCTATTTTAACACATAAAAATCTTCATCTCTAATACATATGCACATCTTGTCTTTAGTCTTAATTTTGTCTTATTCTTGTCTCATGCTAGAAATGTAATCTTGCTTTTGTATCTTTTATTCTTCCACAAGAGTGAGATCCGTAATGGCAGAAAATGTCTTGTTCACCACTGTATCACCAGCATCTCGCAGAGGAACTGGCACATAGTAGTTTCTCAGTAAACACTGGCTTGTTGATAAGGGGTATTATCTTTTATTAACTTGACTAACTTGTGGTCTTTGCTTCCTGCAGCTCTGGTAGCCGAGGAACATCTGACGGTGGATGCCAGGGTTTATTCCTATGCTCTGGCCCTGAAACATGCAAACACGAAGCCGTTTGAAGTGCCCTTCCTCAAGTTTTAAGGCCAAAGGACAATGGCCATGCTTTTATAAACAAAACCACCAGGCCTCCTTCACTAAGACTTTGTATTCAGCTTTAGTCTAATGTAGATTTGAAATTAGCTTTTTCATAAAATAAAAGCAACACAGAATGCATGTGGTGGTATGGAACTGTAATTATAGATAGGCTATAGCCTTCATTTAAATGTTAAACTCCAGCTATGTTAATGAAAAAGAACATAAATGCGGTATGTTTAATCCAATTTTTTTTTAAAGCTTAGCTTTTAATTATAGTATCTAGCCCAGGAGATCTGTAGAAATATCAGTATTTCTACAGGAAAAAGACCTGAATTCCAGATTAGGGCTACTCCCATTCTCATCCCCCAATATAAAATTCTGTAGCTAGGTGTGCAAATAACTATTTACTGTATTAGTGTTCGAACAGTTTTTTTTAAACGGCCCTTTCTTGCCCTTCCTAATTGAATTGTCTGCTGTGTGGAATTAATCTGTGTAGCAGAGGAAGTAAAATCAATAGAGAATGACATTTGAAACAAGCAAATGTTTATACTTAGCAAGTATCCTTATGTCCCCCTGGCTACTGAAGGTGAAAAGTGGTTGATTCCATTCACTATCCCAAGGGGAAGAAGCTCATGAAAACACAGGACCCTTCTCTCAAGCATGTGTGCACACTTAAAAACCTCATTTCCTATCCTTAAATCAAAAAGGACTGGAAGTTTCTAAAAATCAAATCCACATGGTTTGGGGCATTACTGTGTTGGTGTTAAACCACTATAAAGGAAAAAAAAGGATTGTTTCTGGCTCTTGTTATGCCTAAAAACCCTGTCATCCAAAAGGTCTGCCCGTGTTACTGGGCCCTTTTCTTATCTCCTGACTGCACTTGGCTCTTCTGTTGGCTTTCAAAGCCTCCACCGGCTCCAGGAGTATTGTCCTTGCAGGTCAGCACCCAGCGAAGGCTCAGGATGCTGCTCAGTGCAAGCCCTGGACACAGGCCCCTCAGAACCAGACAACGTCAGGATACTAATGCCAAAAATGCTGCAATAGAATAGAGTTCCTTTGTCTACAGGGACACCATCTTATCCAGACATACTTTTATCAGCAAAAATATAAGATATTTATATTGTACTTTTTAAACAATGATGGAATGAATTATGGAACTAGGGTACTGTACAGATCAAGTCTCCTCTCCCTGTAAACATGAAAATAAAGCCCCAACTACTTGCTCTTAATAATAGCCTTGCCCTATGCCTCTAAACCTTTTATAAAAGCTCTTTTTTTAATCATAAGGCATCATGATTCTCCAGAGATCTTCATCCTCTTCCCTAAGCTCTCAAGGACCAAATCCTATAATCTCCCTTGTTACTACCCTCAAAAATCAAGAAGAGATAAGGCATATATAAATATACAACTGGAGCACAGACTAGTCTTTCCAAACAGACCAGCTCTTCCAGAGCTGTTACCCGCCAAAATTGAAAAACCTAGTTGATGGAGGAGAGATACATGTAACCACTGCCTGTCCTTTCTGCCTTTTTCTCTTCCTAAGGGTTCAATTCAGCTAAATCCTACCTAGCTAATCCTAATGCCACCTATGTTATGTATAAACATCAAGGCTAGGCTTGGAAAATAAGTCAGTTTGAGAACTACCAGTCTGGATGTTTTCATTGGCTGACACTGTTAATTTGTCACCTTGTAAAGCTGAAGGTCTATAAAAGGCCTGATTTCCACCTTGAAACTTCCATATAGATATAGTAAAACTGGGTCGGCCTGTACTTCCATGGTAACGGCGGTCTGAGGCCATTAGGAGGTGCTCTCCAGTTGATACTATACCATTCTGCCTGCCTTTATTTGAACTGACTTTCCCCTGTACTTATCTGGCTTTGTCATCTTAAGCTAAAGAAGATATACTTTCTGCACTTTTAGTAAGAAATTAGGAATGGAAAAGGATGTCTTCCAAAAATTAAGTTTGCTCTTTAAACAATAAAGCAAATACTTAAAAAAATGAGTTATTTATAAAGAACTGTGCTATTTCAAATAGAAGATGCTATTATTGCCTGAGACCACTGTACTCCTGTTCTTTACAAATGTTAGTGACATAACTGAGAACCCTCAAATTGGCCACTGTCTCTCCATATTTAGGATTAAACACTAAACTGAATTACATTTGACCTTGTGCAACAGGCATCTCATGATGGATTTTGTATGAATACAGTGAACCTACACAATGTCAGAAATCATTTGATACCAGATTTTTAAAAATTTTTCCAACAAAACAGTTTTATTAAATAAAAGTTTATTATCTACTGTTTACACTCATGTTGTTGCTATAAAGTACAACATACACAAATTCCTAGCTTGAATTACTCATTGTTCACCCCCTACTGAACTACAGACATTGCTTGAGAATTCGATCTTTGCTTTAGGGATTAAAAGAAAGAACTGGGGCTTAGTGTCTTGAAAGAATATTCTCAAGTGACTTGTTGGAATTCGAAGGCATAGCCAATACAGTAAAAGAGCACAGACTGCTGTCACTGGGAAGAAAGAAGAATGAAAAACAGGAAGAGTTATTAATTATAAGCAATTGTTTCTAGTGACAGATGTAACTGAAGCTTCATTTTGCCCATCTGGGCTAAGTAGCTGCTCTCAGAGGGACAAATAAAAAGGGAGGGTGGGAACATGGATACTATGAGTTACAAAAGTATAAAAAGTAATTATATCTAAAATACAGATTAGATATAAATGTTCCATAACTCATTAACTAAGCTAAAAAATACTGGAAAGTGGCCATCTGAACTACATTTATTTTTAAACAAGTTGGGGGAATACTGAGCATTTTGAACATTGTGTGCAAAACATCTACGTCACCATCTTACCGTCACAACCGAACATGGGCAAGGCGGGTACACTGGTTTCCAGCATCACAGGCAACACTACATGTATGTTTTTAAACGAATAATGTAAACTTTAGTTTTAAGGCAGCTGGTACTAATGCTGCACACAGGCTTAGCTCAGTGCCCATTTCAGAAATGGGACAGTTAGCACTTGAAAACAAACTGAGGGAAGGAAAAGGGGAACCAGCATTATTTGACAAAAACGATGTGTCAAAATATCTTCCCTTTCACACGCACACAAAGAAATACTGGAACATTCAGAAAAATAAAGCACCCATCCCTCCAACTTCAGCCTGTTCCTTAACAAATATTTCAAAATACTGATAAATAATCGTGACTGCAAGCAGGATCCCAGTGCCGGAGCCAATGGCCCCCAGGAAGTCAGCTAACACCGACAGGGCACCAATGCACAAGCCACCAAATGCAGCTGCTGTGGGGATGTACCTAGAAGATAAAACCCTGAGTCAGGCACAGGGAAGGTGGAGGGGTAACGGGCAGCAGCAGTGCCGCGCCGAAGCATAACGTGATTCACCCAGCCAGGAGCAGCCTCCGGGCTGAGCAGCTGGACCCCGTGGCTACACACTGATGAAAGCTCTGTGGCTTAAGGAACGGCTTGACTTCCTGTCTAGAAACCAGTAAACAGCCACAAAAGGCAATACATGATTTTTATGGCAGATTAGAATCCTCAACTGAGATTTAAGTATTAAAATGTTTAATCACTTAAAAATGGGCAACCCTTAGCTCCCTCTTGCAGACAAATTTCAAAATGCTTTCTAAGTATCAAATTTATATAACAAGATTTGGATGATCCTTTTGAACAGTAATTCAACCTTGGCTCCTCATTAGAATCACCTGGAGAATTGTTCAAAATAATGGGATTGTATTTTAAATACTCCAGAAAGGATAAAAAATGTGGGAAGACAGCATATAAACAAGAATGGCAGTACGTAGGATGGTAACTACTGAAGTTGGATTGACTTGGATGAGTGGAAGTTCATTACGCTACTACTACGCCATCTATTCTATGTTCTAAATAAATACAAAACTTAAATAAAAATACTAATGTCTTTTCAACAAGTAGTTCTAGGAACAAGTGAATATCCACATGCAAAGGAAGACTATGTCACACCAAACACAAATAAATTTATTAGCTCCAAGTGGATCACAGACCTAAAAGCAAAACAAAAATAAATCCTCATGGGTGAAGCAATGGTTTCTTAGATACAACACCAAAAGCAGACAAAGCAGACAAAGAAAAACTAGGTAAATTGAACTTCATCAAAATTTAAAACTGTATTTAAGAACACTATCAAAAAAATGAAAAGACAAGCCACAGAATGGGACAAAATATTTGCAAACCATATAGCTAACAAGACATATCCAAAATATTTGTTTTTTAATCTTATAACTCAGTAACAGAAAGACGACCTAATTAAAAATGAGGAAAAGATCTGGATAGACATTTCTCCAAAGAAAATGTACAAATGGTTAATAAACATAGGAAAAGATTACACATCAGGGACAAACAAAGCAAAACCACACGAATTACCACCTCACACCCATGAGGTGACTATAATCAAACAGCAAGAACGAGTGCTAGTGAGGGCGGGAAGCAGCTGGAACCTTCACACACTGCTGATGGGAGGGGATAGTGCAGCCCTCTGGAAAACAGTTCAGCAGTTCCTCAACATGTTAAAAACAGAGTTACTATGTGACCCAACATTCTACTCCTGAAGAAATGAAAACATACATCTACACAGAACTTGTACAAGTATGTTCACAACAGCATCATTCATGGAACACACCAAAATTTCCATCAAATGATGAACAGATAAAGAAAATCTGGTATATCCATACGTAAGAGTATTATTAACAAATGGATAACCTGAAAACATGCTAAATGAAAGAAGCTATTCACAAAAGATCATGTTACATTTATATGAAATGTCCAGAATAGGCAACATTGCCTAAGGCAGGAGGATGGGGTAGGAATGAGGTACCAGGTTTCTTTCTGGGTGATGAAACTGTTTTTTAAATTTCCATTGTAATGATCACACATTCTGAATATACTAAAAACAAAAAAACCCACTACACTGTGCACTTCACATGAATGAACTAAGTGGTACCTGAATTAGATCTCAGTAAAGCTGTTATAAAAACACAAAAAACTGATGCCTGGGACCTACGAAATAAGTAAATTCCTAGAGGTGGGATACTGGTATTTTTTCAAAACTCCCAGGTGATTGTATAAGCAGGCAGCCAACAATGAGAATTTCTGATCTACAACATTTTAACAATGAGCTGAGCAGAAAAGGGAACACAATTTCCATTAAAATAATTCTTCACATCTCAATTTTGACATGGAGAACAATTCAATTTTGTATTAAATTTTGGTTCTTTTGTGTGAAGTAGAATAAAAATGATTCAAATATGAATTTAAATAAAGAATTGCATTTCAGAATAAATGACAGACTGAAAAGTATGTGTGCATACACACATACACAACGCACACACACACACACATTCGCTTCAAGAATTAAATCCAATGACCTTACCTATTGAGCTCGTGAACCATAGAGGTATCTCTGTGGCCCCTCATTACCATTTGCTGTTCTTTAAGCTGTTTAGCTACCTGTGAAGACAAAAACAACTTAAAATCAACCTCTTAACATTTCCCTGTTTACTATCCAGCAGGTTCTGTGCAAAGTGTTTCACACACATTGATAAGTAAAACACAAGAACCATGAAGTAGGCACTGTCACATCATACCATTCCCATTCAACCTGAGGCTACAATGCTGCATGACCATGTTACCCACCCATTAAACCACTGTTTCTCTGTTTTTAATTATCACCTCCCTACAGAAATATTAAACACTAAGGAGTAAGACTTTGTCAGGGAGAGTTCAGTTTTTGGAGGGGCAAAAACCACTGTAAAATATAAGAAATAGATTAAAATAAGATTTCACCTTCCAGCAACTATTTTTAACCTCCAGGGGTGACACTACCTCATTAATAATGTATGGATTAAAATTTAAATTACAATGGTACTTATTAAGAGTGTATCAATTACCATTTTGACACCTAAAAATTACAAATGTTTTTTATTTTCAAATAAATCCAATACTTACATCTTTGGCTGAGGAACCAGACACCTCTATCCACGTCTTAGAAAAGAATGCACATGATCCTAACATGAAGATGATATAAACCACCACATGGACAGGATCCTCAAATATGGCACCCATGGACTCAGGAGGAGAAAGATAGTAACAAAGACCTCCCACTGGGTACGAACGAGCAGGCCCTCCCCCACTGACATCCTACAAAACAGGAATAAAAAGAACAAATGGTCAACCTAACTGGTCAAACGCACCTTTTTCTAACTTTAATTTAAACTCAACAATTATGACAATGTTTGAAGCTCAAAGCACTTACAGCTAATGATTCTATATAACTTATGGATTTACTTTTGTGTCTACTATCTTTACTTCTTCAAAATTATACAGTGAGTATTTATTACATAAAAGACAATGTGACTGTATTAACACAGTAGAGCAATTTTTAAAAACTTCATAATACATCCACAAGAAGAATCTTGTCCTCTTCCTGAAGATAGGAATATGACTACATTTATAATCGATTTCTGATTACATTGTGAATCTAAAATTAAACTGTGTAACAATATGGAACATATTTTTCTACTTCAAAGTATTATATTAAGAATGAAATCAATTGAAATATTGGCAGAAGACTAACAACTTGCTGCCTAAGCTTTATATGATTTGTATATTATAAGGAATAACAGCTTTTTGATAGCATTTATAATGGAGTTTTATCTACAAATTTAAGAATTTTTAGATTAATAGAAATAGCAATAGCATGTATTTCCTCATATTAAATAAAATTTTAGGGCATGGGGGTGGGAAAGCAATTTTTGAGGAAAATAATGAAAATGTCTGATTCCTGAATTTACAATTTCCAAATGATTCCTCTACTGTGTTCTAGAATCTCTAATCCCAAATCAATCAAGAGAACTGCTTATAAACTAATTCACTTTTCCAGTAATTCTCTCATTAAAAAGAATCTTAGTTATGATCACAACACAATCTATA